TTCGCCACACAAAGATCCCACGTATTTCTGCTTCGTCACATTCAGCAGGCCATAGGAAGATGCCACACTCCTGGTGCCCGCGCAGATGCCTTCGGCGTTAGGCCGGAGAGATGGATTACACCACCAGTGAGGCCTTGACATGCAGCCTGTCGTGTCCACATGCTTGCCCAAAGTCCTAGCCTCGCGACTCGGGAATGTCTGCCGCAGCGAAGAGAGTTGCGCAACACTCTGCTCAAGCAAAACGCAGCAATTGCAGCGGTTGAAGAAGGACGCATGCAGTCGCCCGCCTCCGCTAATGCGGCACTGCGCTCTGTTTGCTCAGTCAGCTGGACACCACTGCGTCGTAAGTGCGCAGTGCTGATCCACGCCCACATGTCCCGGAACAACACTGCAATGTAAGTGTGCAGTGCTGATCCAGGTCCACAAGCATTCGCAAAGGCTGGAGTCAGCGAGAGAAAAGGTCTTTCTAGAGGAAGCACCTGCTGCTTTCATTGGGGCTACCACCTCACGGCACTGCTTCAGCTCTCGTGCTCAGCGTGCATGATGCAAGGTTCGCGCTTCCGCGTGGGTTTGCCTTGCAACATCGTTGTCCTCAGAAAGCGGCGGAAATCCTAAATCTGCAACGCGTGCTTGCAAGCAGAAGATGCCATGTCAGACTCCATAGATGTTCGGGCTTGCTGACCTGGTGTACGCGCACTGCTGCACAGCGCAAGAGTGACTAAGCTAAGAGCCGTACCATTGGGACTAAGACACTGGGACGTAGAGCGGCAGTGCATGTACTCGTGCCGTACAGCTGGCAGTGCGACGTTGTGCACCTACCTGGAGTTGCGAACAGCTGTTGGCTGCATCAGAGGCGACTTCAGGTGGTCCGATCTGCAGAAGAAGCACGCCGACAACATGGTTGCGGCAGTCACACATGGTTCGGGATTTTAGCTTTCGAGGCCCACGACTCCGCTGTGCTCACAGTAGCCATTGGCGTGTTGGGAACACCCGTTTTGCACCTGCAGCGTGCCATGAACCAGCCCACCACGCACAGGTACCCGTATCGTTGGCACCGCGTGGGTCGTGCAGTCCATACATGGAGAGCGACGGAAGTTGTCAGCATCAGGCCTACAGAAGGTTCCTGCATTGCATTCCCTTCTTGCGGTGTTTGCGAAATCCGGCTGGAGGAGCCTAGAGCAAGAGCAGCCGCAATCAAGCAAGGATTTACACCTAATGCTTGGGAGCTGATGCTGCGGGGCAGGGAGGAAACGGTTAGTCCAGTCATGGCATTCACTGGGGATCCGGGCAGTCCCAAGTCATGCTCTTCGGCATCATTTCAGCAGTCGGCCCTGTGTGCACAGCATCCCCGCTTGACCCTCGCGTAGTGCGTCCGCTTCTGAAGCCACGTTGCCAGAACGTGATGACGGCAACCTTGCCTACAAGAGCTCTTGCGGGCTCCCCGCGTTCGTCGAGGGTGGCTCTCTGTGGGCAATGCAAGCCTCTCCTGCAAGAGCTCTGTCCGCGTGCGTCTCCAATCCCCCCCTGCGCTCTGATCCCTGAGCCCTCAAGATTCGAAGTCAAGTTCATGCAGGCGTCTTCGGGGCCCTTGGAACGATGTCAGCCCCCGGCCCCGCCATTGTACCGACCTGGGATCTCGAAGCAGCGTGGGCGCAAAGCGGGGGTGACAGCCGTTCGCAAGTGCTGCCACACATGCAGTTGCACTTCCAGCGTCCTGTTGCCTTGTTTGCCGGTACCTGTGCCGGAGTGCCAACCGACATGTGTGGCAGGTGATGTTCTCGTGCACTTCATCTCCTTGCGCCTGCCATGCGCCCGAGTCTCCCATGCACCACAGCCGTCCCAGCTTCGGAGCCAGGACGCCAAGAGGATTTCCAGCGTCGAGTTGATGCTGTCCGCTTCCTTAGTTCTCGAGAAAGTCGCCCAGCCGATGGTCCAGTTCTCGACTTGTCAAGGAGAAACACGTTGCACCCGCCTGGGTTGCCGAGGGTTCGCGGATGGTGGACATTCAACCAACAGCAAGCTTCTCATGTCTTCCTGTTCGCCTCCCACCGCCCTGCAAGCTCAGACCCTGCAGGCGTGCGTCAGATCGGGCTGGAAAGCATGGCCGCACGGGGTCGCGCCGCAGGCAAATTTGCGATCTGCTTCCAATGTGATTTAGGGTTAGGTCTGCTAGGTAAGCGACACGCTGCCCAGCCCGACACGGTTCAGAGCACGAGCGAGTGGAGTCTTCATGCGCAGGCTATGCAGGCTGCACGGTCAGGATTCACTTCAGTCCGCCTTTTGGTCTCGTCGCACGAGATGGGTAGCTTGTGTCGGATGCTATCTGCTGTCTGTTTCTCGGTCCTCATCTCTTGCGCGATTCTGGGCGCCGTCCGCGAGAAGCACGGCGCTGCACTTGCACCGCCACGGGCGGGTCCTTCCCGGCCTTTCCTGGTCTGCTGCGTCTCCCGCAAGAGACGCGCCGGCCGTGAAGCTAAGGTGCTATGTTCAATGTCCAGGCAGCTGAGCGGTGGCGCATTGAAGTTCATGCTTTGGGGTGGGATCCTGTCGCTGTGACCACGCCGGGCGGCCGGAATTGCAGGGGCGGTGGGTCGGGGCCCAGCACATGGAGTTCTGGGCCTTTGTGGCCGGCCAGCTCCACCAAAACCCACCTCTGCCGCTCCTGTGTCGCTCTGCGAAGTCCTGCATCAGAGTTGGGATTTGAACTCCCTGAAGACACAACCGAAAACGAAATTCTGCAGGCATCGGATGAGTCCTTACTGCACGGCTCTGGCATGGAAGCCTTACCTATAATGCTCGTAGTCAGTGGCTGTCGTCCCGTCTACGCCTCCGCGTTCTCTCACTGAGCTGCAAGCAGCGGTAGCCACCGCCAAGCTCAGGGATCTTCTTGGTTTAGAGTGAGCAAAGCCCCAATGCCTCGGCATATGCCTCCCATAGCCTTCCTGGCGGTCGCGGTTTGCACGAGAGCCGACCTTGCCGATGAAGGCAGTTCCTTGACGTTTGCGCGCAATCCGTCCGAGCCATATCGGGGAAATTGCTTGCCAAGGGGATGGGACGATGAAATTTGCCACGGCCCTTTACCTCGTCAAGTCTGGCTTTTGAGCGCCGGCAAGCCTCCAACTTTCACCTCCAAGGGCCGCTTTTTCCTGATGTGAGCCTGAGAGTGAGCCCAAGCTGCAGCCTTTCAGGCTGCCAGGTTCCTTGCGCAACCGCTGTGGTGAAGGCCTGCTCCCTCGAGGCGCGGCCGTTTCTTCGATGTCAAGATGGCTGCCTGGAAGATGTAATGTCTGCCTGCCTGCCTGCCTGCCTGCCTGTCCGTCCGTCCGTCCGTCTGTCTGTCTGTCTCTGTCTGTCTCTGTCTGTCTCTATCTGTCTCTGTCCGTCTCTGTCCGTTGTGTCTGTCTATGTCTGTCTGTGTGACTCTGTCTCTGTTCCTGCCTGCCTGCCTGCCTGCCTGCCTGCCTGCCTGCCTGCCTGCCTGCCAATCTTGCCTCTCTTGTCTGTCTTGCCCGTCCGTCCGTCCGTCCGTCCGTCCGTCCGTCCGTCCGTCCGTCCGTCCGTCCGTCCGTCCGTCCGTCCGTCCGTCTGTCTGTCTGTCTGTCTGTCTGTCTATGTATGTGTGTATGTATGTATGTATGTATGTATGTATGTGTGTATGTATGTATGTATGTATCTGCTAGTGCTGAAGACGATTTTACAGAGAGCGAGAGATATGTTACGAGAGGGAGAAGGGGAGATGGAGAGGGAGAGACAGAGATAGATAGATGGATAGAGGAGGAAGATGAGGAGAAGAAGGTGGAGGAGGAGGGAGATATTGGGAGATTCTGGGTGAGCTTTGCAGGCAGGGCGGCTTCGCGAACTTGCTCGTGACCGAGTAGTGCCCGCGGTGTGCGACACCTCGCTCGCCGGACTTATTTGGCCAAAAGCCTGCGAGGAGCGGCAGAGGCTCCCGATGATCCGGGCGAGCTCCATGCGCTCGAGGCTCTTCTCGCCGCGGGAGGAGCTGCTGAAGATGGCGTGTCTTTGCAGACGGCCACTCTCCCTGCAAACGTTTCGTCATAGCCTGTCTCGGACAGTTGTAGGCCGCTGTTTCGGCAAGACTGCCATGCTTCGGTGGAAAGTAGTCAGCCACCAAGGCTGAAGAGTTGAAGGCCCCAAGCAGAGCTGGAGATGCACAAGCGGCTTCTCGTTCTGCACAAAAGATTCAGCTAGTGCTCCTGAGCTGCTTGCTTGCCGGAGTATGTCAGACTGAGGCATTCTGGCATTGTGCCAATGCACTCGCAGACCGAAAGCCCTGGCCGAAACTAACACAAGGTGGGGAAGTGCACTTGAGACCGGTTCGGAGCCTGTACCCTGACTTGAAGACACTGAAATCCCTGAAACATTAGCCCCTTTCAGGGCAGAAGGGTCAACCCAGAGCCCCCAACACGTCCCTCAACACCTAAAGGTGGCAGGCGCCGTCCCCAAGCTCTGCAGCTTTGCCCTGAAGGTCACAGCGCCGACTTCCGCTCGAAAGGCTCCCTTGCTTAAGCTCAGCACCCAAGGTTTTGAGGGCCAAAGCCACAGGGGACTTGTAGAGTTCCCAGCTTTCAAGATCTTGATAGTGTTTTGAGTCTGAGAGGAGCAAAGGCCGGAAAGCCTGCATTCCATAAGATTAAAAAGGCATCGCAGGCAACTGGCAGACAGATCAGCCAAAGACCAGGCCTGCATTCCCGTTCGAATTCCCTGACCACCCGTCCTCCAGGCTGGCGCCTTCGGTAGAACTGCGACTCCGACCTCGAGAGCTGGAACGAAGCCTCTCAGTGCGGGCCCTGAGGAGCGCAAAAACACCGCGCGCAGTCCGAAGATGCTTGGGGTCGGTAGGCTTCATCGGCCAGCGGTTCTGGGAAGCCTGTAGGACGTTGGCATGGAGTCCTTCCTCAGTCTAGCTCGGAAAGTTGAGGAAGTTGAGATGTCCTTGTATCTTGCGGGAAAGTTCGGGCGGAGGGTTGAGGTGTTGCATGGAAGTCGGTCCGGGACAGCGCTCAAGATCGGGGCCGCTCTGCAAAACGAGTTTGCTCAGGTCCTGGCGCGCTTCGAGGAGGCGGTCGGGGAGGTGTACCGATGCCAGCCGGCAGGCGCGGCCTTGAAAAGAAGCCTGCGACCCCAAGCAGCAAGTGTGTTCGCGGCATTATCAGAACTTTAGCAGTTCGACATCCTGCAGCACATATGAAAAGCAGCTTCAAGCTAGTATGGACTGAGCTCGATGCCTGTTTGGTTACTAGGTTTAGGGGCGAGGTGTTTGGTCCAGGGTCTTCCGATCGTGGTCATGCAGCAGGTTCCTAGTGCTTCGCTTCTGACGACGACCTGTGGTCGAATCGCAAGGCTTTCGGTGCCTTGGCGCGTGACATTGTGACATTGGAGTTGCCGGGCTTCGCAAGCGCTCCAGAGTCTGGACTGGGTTGGGTGACGCCAGCTTCAAGGGTAGGAGTTTTCACCCTCTCGGACCTCTCGTCCTTGTGCAGCTTGGCTGAGGCTGCCGTTCCCAAGAAGCAGGTGACCGAAGACCCAGTGGCGGTGGAAGCCAAGAGGTCTCAGATTCCCAAAAGCTGTTCCTGGGCTCTTTCTTGCAGCAGATATCTGTCCATCATAGCCGACAGATCATTGGAAAGGGAAGTACCGTGGCCGTCTGCAACATGTTATACACTCACGACATGCGCACGCTTCCAGCACAAAGGGAATACCACTGGTCACTCAGCAGCTTCCTAAAGGTTTACGAGGCGGGACGCTTGGTTAGTAGAACCCAGCCAGAATGAATACTGGATGGAATCAGACAGTTCAAGCTGGAAGGCACCCAGCAGTAGCTGGAACATGCATACATGCGTGCGTGCACACACGCAGACACAGACACGCGCGCATCCATTCCTCCGAACTTCCTCCCTCCCTCCATCCATCCATCTATCCATCCATCCAGGCATCCAGGCATCCAGCCAGGCAGGCATACAGGGCAGACACGCACACAGGCACACAGGCATACATCCTACATACATAAGACAAGTACTCGACACACACATGTACATATACATGCAAATGTACAAATACATTGAATCTGCATAAACATAAATACATATGTAGCTTGATACCCAGAAAAGCAAAGGCTGTCGATCTCTGGCATGCTTGCGGCCAAGCTGCAAAGAGCATGGTCGAGCTTGGCAAGAAATCCGAATTCGAGACGATGCAGAAGGACGGCGGTTGTTCAGTGGCAACTGTCGGTTCTATCTCGTCGAGCAGAAGTGAAGTCTTGACGGTACCCTCCAATCCTCGAGACCGGAACTTAACCCCAGCCTGGCTTCCCAGAGAGCAACTCAACCTCCGCAGTTCGGGGCCTCATTTCGCAAATGGCGGATCAGGTCACAGTCGAGGCCTCCCCCTCCGGCGCTCACATCGATCAGAGGTAGAGGCCGGCTAGCACAAGAAGGCAGGTCGGGGCCTTCCGGGTTTCGGCTTAAGACTCTAAGGTTCGTCGCCAAGCCAGGACACATGCCGTCTCTTGGAGCAGCAAGTCTTTTGGTCCATGGATCTCGTCTTTGCAATTGGATTCCATGCCGCAGGCCGAACAGCTTTGGTGGCGTGATTTGGGTTCCATCTCGGTTGCGTATGACGTCCTGTCCTTGCACCTTTTGCTGAGACTCCGCCCCAGCAACTTCTGTAGAAATGCGCTAAGCAGCCGTCTCCCGGCTTAGGATACAGAGGGGCGGGTTCGACGATGCCCAAAGTAAGCGATGGCAGAACCACAGTTCCAGATGCGTGAGTGCGCGTGGTGAGCTACATGGACCGATCATCCGTCCCGCTGGGTTCCCGAGATCACATGATCCTGGTCTCAACATCATCTTTAGCATCACGGAGGAACCATCCCTTGGAGCCCCGAAACAAAAACCACGCATGTGGCCATCACATAAGCGCATGCACCAGAATTCATACCCACGAACATGTTTTGTGCACGGTCTTGCGAGCTGGAGACATCCGGAGGCTTCGGAGTCTCCTGGGCAGGGCCCTGAAGTCAACGGAAGGAACTCTGCGCTGATTCATGTTAAAAAAACATGCAGCCTTCACAGGAACATGCAAGCGACCCAAGGTGCAGGGGCACGGCCAGGCAAAAAAAGCTCCGCCAACAACCCATAGACTCATAGACCATGCCTGTATGCGAGGGTGTCTAGAACCAGCATCACAAAACAAGTGCACACTGCTAAACTATTTTTAACGTGCAAGCCTCGGAACCCCCGCGCCCGCACCCCACACCGCACCCCGTATCGCGGTCCACGCGGTTGGAACACTCATAAAAAAGGAGAGCCCAGCCCCCGAGGGTTTTTTTGGGAAAAAGCCGACTGGTGAATCTGCAAGACGTGAACATAATTAGTGGGGACGGTGCCTTCTGGCCACCCCTTTCAACGTTGTACTGTAAGGTTTTTTGGGTTTTTTTGTCACGGCCTAGGTGCCGATATTGTTTACACACATTTACAGCCTTGAGGTTGCAGGTTTCTTGTATGCATGATCCTTCTGGTAGGTGGATGGCCGAAAAATGCTTTCTGAAGAGACCAATGGGAGCCTTGAGCCTGCAGGTCCCGACGGCCAGCGGCGGTGGAAGTCTGATGCCCTGGCTTCTGCTTCTGCAGCTCGCCGAGGCCCTCATATCCACATCCGAGCCTCAAAAACCGAATCATTGAAAAGCTAGGTTCCTGAAGTTTAGTTTAGCATCACCTGCAAAGGATCTTGTAGGGTCTAGGGTTTGGGATGTCATGTGCGCGTTGGACCCGTCGGACCCCGGTCAGGATCGCGGAGCCACTCCTGCTTGGAGGACATGCTCTGCAAGGTGCGATTCCTACTGCGTGAACTTCTTGCCCACGCAGGAGCGAGGTTGGCATGGGCGGAATATCGACATGTGTTGGTGCTGGGTCTGCGGATAGTACTCGGACAGTTCTGGGACAGTTCGATCTGGTTGGAGAACGGGCCTGCTTCGTATTGCGTGTTTCGTCATCCGTGCATGGATTAAGCTTGAAGTTTCACTAACTTGGTGCAGTGCTCCAGGATTCGCGGCGGTGTGCCGCGGGGGCAGGGATGTTGCGAAGAGCCGCCTTGCTGAAAGCTGCAAGCCGACAGCTCCCAGCACTGGAAGTTCATCGCTGGAACCGGTGGGATTCGGTAGGATGGAACGACATCGTTAGGTGCTGAGTTGAGTCATCACTCCGTAGTCACGTCTCAGACGACGGTGCCTTCTTCGCCGATGTGCTGATTCCGTGCTCAGGTCTGAAGACGAGGAGCGCTCACGCTCTGGCCCCAACTCCGGCCAGTCGCAGGATCCAGCGGGGGACCGGGTCTCCGGGCAAGACTCTGGGGTGTGGGCCCAAAGGATCACAGCAAGCGAGCGAGGGAAGGAGCTCCAGAATCCGGCGGTGTACATACCAAAATAGACTAAATGAATGGAAACATGCGTTCAGGTGTGCGTCACGGTCCGGATGCTGTCACGCCTCAAAGGACCGAGATGCTGCCGCTGCCGCCCATCGCCATGGATTTGCCGAAGGCGTGCTTGAGCACATAGGGGTTGCGGTTGTTCTTCACGGATGTCTTCCTGATCTTCCTTTGTGTATGATTTATGGTGCGGCAGTGGCGAACCGTTCCTGGCTTTGTAAGTTGTAAGTGCCCCTACCCACTACTACTTACTAGTTGAACGGTAGCATAACGCAAGGCACCCGCATGAACTCAAGACCGGTTTGTTGCAGGGTTTGGAGGTCCTGGTTGACAGCCCCGCAAAAGGCTCGCTGTCCTCCACGCTGCGACTCTTCTTTGCGAAGGGCCCGTGCTGAGCTGAGGTGTGCAGCACCTGAAGGCACCCGCATTCTCACAGAACCGAATGTTGAGCTGAGGCCACAGGTCCCAGACGCCTGGTGTCTTGTGCCACTCTGACTCCGGCAGACCGAGGCGATGGTCTGAATTGGGGCCGGGGCAGGGATGGGAATCCGGAAGCTAAGACTCGATGCATCAGCAGTCCGCCGCAGGCCTCAAAGCACCATTCCGTCATACTGCTCGAGCCCCAGCCTCCAACTGAAAACTTTCGAGATTAGTCCTGGAGGTGTTTGAGCGTCACGGCACCGATTGCCTCGGTTCTGCTGAGGCGTGACGTGTGTCCAGGCCGTCCTCGCGGGCACTGACACGGTGAACATGCTCCTCGGACCAGTTCCGGCGCACGAGTGTTCGGCTATTTGGTCTACTGCCACGGCATCCGCGTTTCAAGAGCAGCTGTACGCCACCAAGGTTTGCGGACCGACTCGACATCGTGAATATCGCAGCAAGAAGGACCACGACGTGGCGGGAACTGCGGCGCTTGGTTTCGGGACAAAGTCCTCCCTGTCCACATGCACGGGCAGCCTGTGATCATCTGCTCAAAGCACGAGAACAGTGAGAAAGCCTGCCTATTTGCATGGCACTTTAGTTGTTCTCGCAGCATTCCCAACAACGCAGTCGTTTGTTCACTACTGTCTATATGACGCATGCGCATGTGCATGTGTAATACGGGGCTTGGGCGGGTTGGTATCAGAGAAGTGGAGAGGACGACAAACGTTGTGGTGTGAGATATGCTAACGATGTCCCATGATGAAAGGACTTGTTCGAGTTTGCTCTTATCTTTTTTTGATAATTTTCACATTCGCACACAGAGACACACAGAGACACAGACAGGTCACGCAGACGGACAGAGAGACAGACAGGCAGACGCACAGACACACACATGCAGACAGAAAAACATGTAATAGTTGTATGCGCTTCGCGTCGTCCGCTTCGGCCACCACTAGTCACTGGCGGGTGCCTTGCTGAAGCCTGCGTCATCAAGCATTGGAAAGAGGTTGTTGCCAGCGAAAACATTCGCTAATCAGGCCCGCTAGCCAACCAGCCGGGTGCTTACATGTCGGACAAGCAAGCATTCCACTATGCAACTTTGCTTCTAGACTCTGCGTGTCGCGCCCTGTCAAGAAAGCAAACTGTTTCTAGGGCTCGATTTCCACTGAAGCATGCGGATAGGCAGTGACACGCTCAGCAGGAGCTGACCAACTCGCCCTCGAGTCCGGAAGTTTGTCGAGAGCAGCGCAGCATGGCAAGTTCCTGCATGCAGCGGCGATTTTGCCAGGTGCCTTGGCGTGGGCTTAAAGTTTAAAGGGCAGGAACTGTTTGGGTTTACATCAGGACGAACTTCCAACTACCCTGGACCTTAAGTCTTCGTACATTCTGGCCTGGTTTTCCTGAGGTGTTGGCACGGTCGCTCAGATTTCCCGTTCCCGTTCCAAGCATCGCTGTGGCAACTTCGCTGGTGCCCTGGCAATCACCGAGAGCAGTCAAAGCCCAATGAGGGACAATCCCTAGAGTGCACGGGGGCTTGAGTGTGCCTTCATGCAGAACCTCAAGCCCGTCCCAAATCGAATCCGCAAGCCAGAAGCCGTGCACACGTGCAAAACCGACACCGGAACTAAGGCCGTGTGACTCCGTGTGACCTTGCGTGCGTGCCAACGGTGAGCATCCATGTCATGGCGATGCTGCTGTGGTTCTGGTACCTCGGCTGTTGACTGAGGGTCCGAGAAGCGGCTCCAGTGCTGGGCATTGCTGGGCTCCCGAGATTTTCCAGGAAGTTGCCTCAAGTTTATGAGAGCAATTGATTCCGTAGACCACAGAGCAAAGATTCTTCAATCCAGTCAGGTAGCCAACGCATCTGCAGCTTGAGCAGCACCGCAGCACCCGGACTGGACAAATGGATTGCGAGTCAGGCTCCTTGAGCAGCCGAGCCATGGCGAGCATAAGTCTGCTGAAGATTCGGGGTAGCACGTGAGAACCCAAGGTTTGCCTGGCATGCGGTGCCATGGCCTTGTAAATACATTGACTTGCTCTCAGGATGTGCCACCAATCGGCAGCAGCAGTGGCGTCACGTTGCCTTGTACCTGGAACTGGCCAGCGACGAGTCTCCAATCATCCCGAATCCAGACCCGAATGAAATAGTCGTTTGCAGGTGAGGAAGCAAGCTACATGATACTGTATGGGCAACATCCACCCGATGGCCACGAAGATTCAGGGGCTAGGAGATTGCTGTCATTCCTGTCACAACTGTAGCCTCTCTCAGTCCAGAGTCGCAGCATGGACATGAGTCGGTCATCACTGCTCAGGTGCTGGGCGTCGAGACCGGTGCGGAGTGCATCAGCAGGCTTCAGACTCTACTTCTGCAGGGTTGGTCGGTTGCAGGTCCTCAGGCCCAGCGGCCAGCCAGCGGCCTTGAGGTTCGAGGCCTCGGACGATGTGCCGTGCTCAAACCCGCAGCCTTGCGGAGACCCATTGCCGGGGCAAGCTTTGCTGAAGGAGTCCTGAGATCTCGTACGTGGATTGTCATGTTTCATGTGCGGCCTCAGTCGCCTCAGTCGCCGTTGACATGTGAGAGCTTGCAAAGTTTCCGATCAGCTATGCCCTACTGAACAGTAAGCAAGCGTGCAAAGGCTCGTGACCTGGGTGTTCCTTGGGGCGCTGAGATGACTCACTCCAGGGGAATTCAAAGAAGATCTGCTGCTCCTGTGAAGGAGCGAGTTGATCGGTCCAGCCTCGAAGCAGACGAATCCTTGCTCTTTGCCAAGTAGACAAGTAGATGGATTGCTTGCGTGTGCTGCCGGTGAAGCCTGGCTTGGGCTTGTCGGCATGTGCCAACCCAAACCAGGTGCCAAGTTCCAAGATGGTGGTGTCCGCACTCTGCGGAACTATGTGGTCGCACGGACATCTTGATGTGGCTGCTTCCTCTCTTTACTTGGAAACCTTATCCGGATCCTAAGCAGCAGAGAGCCCGGCGGGTGCAGAAAGCATCAGTTTGTGCAGCTTCCTGTGAGAGCCGTCGACCTACCTCTACTTGACGCCCCCCAAGTACAAGCTCGGGAACTATGAGCCTTGTTTTGGCAGCTCGGATATTCCGGCGTGTTCAAAAGAGATCGGTGAACCAGCTTGTGCCGTACCTTCTTGGCTGCCGACTGCCTTCGTCACCAGGGTGTTTAAGAGTGAGCACATCCTGGGATCTCAGCTTCGACCACTTCAAAGTCGGAGTGAAGGCTTCCAGGCAGTCGTCCAGGCAGTCGCCCAGCAAAGAGCATGCCCGGCTTGCGCAGGTAGCACCCCTCGGCTGCTTCGGCTTTCGTCTCTAATTTCCTGGGCTTTGGAGAGGTCGGAGGAGCCGTCCAGCAACAATGCTGCCCAGCAGTTGGCAAGCATGTACACGCAGCATGAGATGTCGCTCGGCGCAGTGAGTGTGTCGAAGAGTACCACGTTGCAGGATGTTCTTGCAAACATGAAGCAGATGATCCAGAACTTTATGAGGAATTGCACACCGGCCTCGCTACCAGACATGCTGGTATAGAGCTACAACCCACTTCCAGCCAATCTGCTGTTGATATCCGTGGCATGATTCCTTACCTGAACCTTGGCACTCCACATGCTGCACCATCCGCACCTTCTCCCATGCCCGTCCTCACGACAAAGTCTGCCACGCCACGTGCGGGCTCAGAGGTGCCCGAGCAATCGGGGTTGCCTGTTAGGAATGCTGGCTTCATCAACGCTGTCTCCTGCATCCTGACGTGGAGTCCTGCTCGAAACCGCCAGCCAAGCAAGTCGCATGGAAGCAGCACCAGCACAATGGAGGCCACTGGTGCCTCTTCGGCATCCGGGCTCTCGTGGCAGTGCACGTTCCATTCGGGCTTGCTTGGAGACGTTGAGCTCTTTGGCACTGCCGCCCCGCCCTGTGAGTTTTGCGACAAGAGAGCCCTTGCAATCCTGGCAGCTCCGTTGCAGCAAACAGCAACTGCGAGGACGAGGACTGGGAGCAAAGAGGGGGCCACCACTCTAATCCCCGCCGTTGAGCGCTCTGTCCCAGTGAAGTCAGTCAAGTCCATTCCGAAGCAGCACGAGCAGTTGCACTCCAAGCTCTTAGTTCTTTTGCTGCAGCACTAGGCCAACTTGCGGGAGTCACCAGAAGCTTCAGGCGAACCCAGTACTGGAACTGGTGCGACAAAGAAGAGGCCCTGGCTCCTTCCGGAGACCAGAGAGCTCCGGCACAGCCACTGGCACAGCCGGTGAGACTGGGCCAGCTGACAGCCATCGCTCTAGGCAGCTTCTCAAAGACTAAGCTTGCACGCAGGGGTGCGCGACCCTCTCGCTCCCGTCCCACGAAGCAGCCACGTGTGACTGCCTGCAAGCGCAGTGCCGCACTTGCAGTGTGCAACCCTTCGATAGAGGCATCGGGATGCCTTGCAGCAGGAGCACTCTTATCCTGTGAAAAGGGTCTTGCCTACTACCTGGCGGCCATGTTGGCAACTTACCTGTGTCTGTGCCAGGGACCTCGATCCGTGCTGAGAGTGCAGAGAAGGTCACCGATGGATTGTCGCACTGCCAGCTCCTCCCCGAGCTTCGTCAGCCAAACACGATTTTCCTTATGCTGGACCAGAAGGACTTCCTAGCTCGGGAGTGCGGATTGCAGTGATGCAAGACAGATCTGCGCAGCCATCAAAGCTTTTGCTTGCCTTGGCCACGTGCGCATGCACGGACAAGCACGACTCACCGCTGGGAGAACTATCCGGGGCTGGGTGCCGGCATGTCATTCACCGGCCGTGTCTGCTGTGCTTGCAGCCCGTGCTGCACTCGCGAGCTTCTCCGACGGTTCTTGTTTTGCAACTTTCAAGGCCGTGCTCCCGGCTTGACATGACCGGTACTGTGCAGGGCTCATGTGTCGCTTCTGTCATGCTGCATCACTACGAGAGGTGCGTGCTGAGTCAAAGTATACCTCTATATCGCGGTTGGCCCAATGCCTCCACTCGCTGAACGTGCTCTGGCACAGACGAGAGCCACACAGACCCTTGAAAACATCCCGTTTCAGACACATCCTGGGTTCTCGCTGACACGTCGTGCATTTCCCTATTTGGGCCCACGACCGCAGGTTGTATCCATGCTTACATGCCGCGAAATGCTGTGCGGCAGGAGGGGCTCCCAATCATGTTCCGAGTGCTCGATCAGATATTCCTGCCCACTGTGAGCCACGCGGCAATTGAAAAGGCAGCATATGTTGTCAGACTGGCCAGATCTGCCCGCAAGCAGATCCTCGTCACCTTGCACATGGTAAACCTGTGAAACGCACCTCCCGCGCTGCCAACACCTGTTGCCATCGCAGAACCTCGCCAGAAGCTCCAGGATTGCTTGCAACACCTGGCCATGTCGTCCAAGAGGTCCGCAAACCAGGCCGCATGACTGCGACTTGATGGTCCCCTGGGTCCGCGCGAGGCTGACACTGACAAGACAGAACAAAGTCTTCCCGTCCTGAGCCTCTGAACCGACGCCCGGAACGACGCTCACTCTGAGAGAGGCGGGGAGGCTGAGGGCGGTTCCGGGAAGAGTTGGGACCACGGGCTTTCGAAGCCCTTGAAAGTCACACCGGGGCAGCAGCTCCGGGCTCCATCTCAGATCACAGGTTCACTTCCTTTCCTAAGGTGCACGCACGGAATCTGCCATGCCGAAGGCCTTGAAAGAAGTATCAGGGACGGCCGGGCCTTGCGGCTCTGTGTGAGACTAAGGGAGCAGGCATCGCTGAGGGACTTGGGAGAGCAGGTGAAGTGCTCGATTCGGAAAGCCACATCAAGCCTGCAGTCTTTCATTTGGATGGTGGAGATTCAGATCCGCAGTGGCTTTGGCCAGAAGCCCGCAGGCAACCAAAGCTTTCAGTCTCGATGTGTTTCTTTTCCCACCTTGGCCTTGTCGCTCAGACCACCCACACCCAGGGACCGCGTCCAGTGTTCCGAGCCGCGGCCCGTGTCCAGTGCAGTCCTTGTTGCGAGCTCTGCGAAGACCTGTGGATGTAGCCCAGGGGGGTTCAGGCCTGCAGCGCAATCGTGCAGCCTCTGCAAGCTTGGTGGAGTAACGCTATCACGTGGCGTGCGCAAGCGAAGCCGCGTCCACATCTGCCGGGTTTGAACTCTTGCCCTGGCCTTCGCTTGCGCAGCCGCCGAGGCTGTCCAGGGCGGCTTAGGCTCAGACGCCCTGCAATCGGATGAGGCTCGTAGAAGAACGGGTGCCGATGCAAGGCCTAGGCCTAGTTGCTAGTTGCAGCGCAGTGGCAGACACAGAGTGCCTTGCGTTCAGGCCCATATCGCCGTATGGGTTCCTCCGAGACTCTCCTGTCCCTCTGGTGCAGCTGCAAGGTGCACGCAGATTGCTGTCGCCCGGTGCTGTTCGGTTTGGCTTTGTGCCCAGACTTCGTGCATTGACTTCATCGCTCGCGGATCATGAACGCCCGTCTACACATATCGTCCCTCACTGCGTCTCGGGTTTCTTCACCATCGGACACAGTGTGTATATACCACACAGACTGGCTGGCCTTGCAAAGATGATGACGCTAGTCCCTCTGCATGCAAGTGGGTTCCTCTTCGCAGATCTGCTGGTCAAGCACCTGGGCGAAGGTGGGAGCGGGAGCGTTTGTGTTTACTGTAAGCGCCCTACGCTGACAGTTCCTCAGAAATACTTGCTTCGGCGCTTCCGCGCAGGCCCGCTCTGCTAGTCCTGCGGCATTGCAAGCATGAATGTGGCTACCAAGAGAGCACGGCGGCAAGACGAGCACCACTCAGGGCCCTGAGGAGAACAAGCAGCGAGACCGGGGTCAAGAAAGCAGTGCATGACGACCAGTCCCTTGTGAGGTCTCCGTTGGCATGACTCTGTTCGACACAGTTGGTCTTGGTTGATCAAGTCAGTCGCGGCTTCCGTTCGGGGGCATGCAGCATCGTAGCCACGAACATGCCGTGTAACCCCAAGCCAGGGCGAAGCAAACCTTGATATGTTAAATGCTTATAGCGTCCTCAGCAAATCTTCTGCATCCTTAGGGTCCTTGCAGGCGACTTGTGCTGAGCCAGCTGGCTAATAGCATTAGTGTCTGACACAGCGTGTTTCGTGTCAGTGGCTTCCATGTTCGGAAGGTCTTCGAAGCAAGGGAGGCTCTTGCCACACGACAAAGTCGGCGGAATGTATGGCAAGGATTGCACGGCTGCCCCACTTCTACAGGTGAAGCGAAGTCTTCCCCGTCACCCATGTGCCGGTGTAGGTGCCTGTCATGCAACGTGCTCTCGTTTGTGCGCCTGTGGTGGAAGCATGGCTGAATATGGAGCTCGGCTTGCCAAGATCTTGCAGATCCTCGCAGCCGCTTGAAAGCGGAGAGAAGCTGCCAGCCTTGGGGCCGCATCTCACGTGACTACAAGCCCGGCGAGCCCAGGCTTCCTGGTCCCAAGCTTCCTCAAGCTCCAGGCACGTTCCTGCTCCAGGCAGGTCCCGTGGACGTAGATCCTGATGGGGCAATCATCCCAGTGCCAGATGACTCTGTGCAGGTGCCGATTTTGGGTGAGGACCTGCCTTTATGTTATTATAGCGCTTTGGAAAGCCCGTCCTTTGAAAAACACGAGGATCTCTCCAACCTAATGGCTCACTCGTTTTGGCCAGCGACTGCAGTGCGGTGGGCTCGCATGTCCATTTGCCACGAGGGTGGAAGCTCTGCCGTGAACGGAGCAGCCTCGCTTACCTGTCCAAAGGCCCTTAGCCAGTTCGGGTGCCGCCCTTGCACGCTGCTCGTGTGTCATTCAGAATAGAGAAGCATCGCACCTCCGAGGTGCCGGTTCTTCCATTCCAGCAGGTGTTGTCTTGGCACCTGCCCGTGACCTTCCACGCTTGAGACGTTGCATCAAATCACCCACGGAGCTGCGCGAGCCGCCCCCAGCCAGCGTGGTCTGTTCCCCTTGCTTTGCATTGCCTTTGAGATGTGTGCCAACCGCCTTCTTTCCTGGGCCGCGCCCACTGTGCCGGACTGCTCTGTCCAAACGCCTGTTACCACCTGCAGTGCCGGACCATTCGACGGCATGCGCAAATGTCGACACCGCCCTGACTTGGAACACGAGTGCCATGTGTGCCTCACCTCATATTGTCTTGCACGCTCGTGCTCCGTGGCTGGCTGCGGCTGGTGCCGTGCGGAGCTGCAGGCAGCGGCAGCAGGCCAGAGCTGTCGCGGCTGCTGCATGCATCTGACCAAGTGTGGTTATGGTCGAGTCGGGCAGCTTCAGCTTAGCCAGTGCCGGTTGCATGGGTCTGCGCTGACTTATTGCGATGGCCAGGATAAGACCTTGAGGTCCCCACGGAAGCAAGCTCGTCAGCCGAGCAGCTAGGCCAAACCGCTTGCTTGAGGACCGACAGCGCTCTGCTTCCGGCCATCTCGTCGGCCTTCACGGTGGGCATTGCCGTTATTGCCGTTCCCTTCCGCTTACCCGGCTTGCCCGTTGTTCTTGGTTGAGAGGAATGAGACCTTGATTTTTCGAGACTGCCCAGCAACACTTTGTGCCTGTCAGGCGGATGCATGCCACGTCCAGGAATCATTTGGCAACCAGGCGGCCGCGCAGACGGCGCCTGACGCCCCAGCTACCCTGCAGCGCTGTGGCTGTGGCTGTGGCTGCTTCCGGATATGCTCCGACTGTCCACTGCGAGTGGATCCCAAGTTGCTGCAAACTTCCGAAGGTCCTCGTTTCATTGCGCTTCTTCCTTCGAAAGGCGCAATGACGAGGCCTGGATCGAAGGCAGGCGCCAGTGTCCTGCCGCTCGGAAGCTTTGGACCGGCTTTGGTGCAAGACCTGGACGACCTGGACCTGACTTTGCAAAGCTTCCTGCCTGGAATCCACCTTGCCAAATTCCGTAAGCTAGAGCACGGATGGCATTTCTGCCACTTCCTCCAGCTCCACGCACGCATCAAGCAGATCTTGCAAGAGCCGTGCCTGTTGCAGAATCTGCAAGCTCCCGCCGCCCTGCCAGACCCCAGCCCGGCACCTTCGAAATGACACGACTCCTGGAAAGCATCGGGCGGAGCATTGCAGCCAGCACGTTGCCTTGCGAGTGATGAGAAGACTCATCGGCAGCACCGCGCAAGCCAACATCTTGTGCCCATCGGACTGCTACGTGCAGCAAGCTGCTCTCGCATGGCTGCTTCGCAGCATCAAGGGGTCGTGTTGGAGCTGCTTGTTCCAAAACTTAAGCCGGCATTGAATGCAGGCAATTAAAGTGGCGAATGTGTCATGTCCACATGTACACAGAGTGGAACGTAAAGTTAGAGTAGCAGCTAAAGGTCTTCCAGATTGTCCTGCCTGCGGATTCCTGAATTAGTTCAAGTTGTCTGCTCAAGAATGTAGTGATTTGTGGAGTACTTGGCTGCACCTCAATGACAGGGGTCTCCAACAGCGCATCTCATATGAGGCCCCCACCTGGAAACCTGGAAGTGTTCAGGGCCCGAATAGAAGCCAATGAATTTCTGCCTGGAACTCACTTAGGACAAGACAGATCTTGCCAGCGACCTCCCGGATGTCTGAGACCACTGGATGCATTGCGAAGGTTTGGCTGTTCGGGCTTCGCCTCCGTCTTCTGAGACTTGGGCATTGGACATGATCTGCATGCATCGTGGTTTGTGGTTCATATTCGTCCCTCTCCCCCTGCCTCACTCCGCTTCCTTTCTTCCCCTCTTCCCATCTACCTCTCTTTCCGTAGCATCCATCCAACATCTGGCTGGCTATGAGTAGCTCCCCTGAAACCATCACGTTCGTTTCCCGGAGCAAGGTCGCGTCTTCTTCAAGTCGTGGTCCGATTACGGCAGAACCTTTGTGAATGAGGACGTGGGAAGGGTACTAATTATGGCTTGTGGATCGTTTTGGACAACGCATTGAAGAGACTTGATCGGTTTGACAAGGCTTGTGGTGCATGTGAGCAATGATGGTGTTGGTTTGTGCCCCCTGCAATTCCAGGACAGTATGTAAGCAGCGGCTGACGGGAGACCCAGACCTCTCGCAGCCTGAGCAGCCGAAGATGTCCCTGACCCTCGTGGAAATCGCCGCCGAGGTGCCAGGTGCAAGCGGTCAGGCAGGCGACGTCCCTCTTCTGCATGCCCGCCACGTACGCACTGCACGCCTTGCAAGTGGGGCCGCTGCTTCGGCTGCGTTCCAGTCGTTGCACTTTGACTTGCATCCGTGGCTTTGCCCACGGCCTGTGCAACAGAAATGCCGGCCGCCCGTTTGCAAGATGCGGTGCCGCCTGGCTCCAAACAACAAGCACCTCTCTCTGCTAACTTGCAAGCCGTGGGCGCTGGAAGCGCTGAAATCTTTGGCATGGGTCTCCATCCTCTGGACAAGCACTTTCAAACCTATCTGCTTTTTGCTGTCGATTCCCTCTTTCTCCTGTCGCTTCTGGCCCGGCATCCGCAAGTCTGCACCTAAGGTGATGCCACTCCTGACAGCTCCGGCTCCGAAGAGAGCCCTTAGCCGCCTTTTGCCTTAGCGACAGACTCGAAAGACTCAGACTTCCTCCAGAAGATCCCGTCGCGATCGCACGGAGACATGTGCGATTCCGCCTTGTTCTTCATTTGAACCTGCCTATATACCGCCAAGCCTTGTGTCTAGCTCTCTCTGTCAATGGTGAGAAGGCTCGCCCAAAGAAAATGTGACGGACCACTGAAGGCTGTTGTGATGCAACTTGACGCTGTGATGGTTCGGCGCCCCTCATGGAGCCAGCCCTTGCAGGGAGGACATCTGCGCACTTTGCAGTCTTCCGTTTCGACATCCTGCCGGAGTCGTCGTTGTTCGCGATGCGGCTCAAAGTATCGGTGGCTTGCTCGGCAAAGATGCCGATCAGAAGTTCTAGCTCTTCGACGCCTAAGCCGTCCTCAGCTGAAGCAGTCCATCCTACAAAGACACTCTTTACAAGGCCTGCATCGTCCTGTGCAGATTTTGAAGCTGAAGGAAATTGCCAGAATCAGCCCAGCAGCCTTCAATGTGGTCTTTGGGACACGTGTAGCAAGGGCAGCTTCCAGCAAGCAAGGGTTTACACCTTGCGCTTGGGAGTCGATGCTGCGGGGGCCATGCCGCCAGCGCCAAAGCAGTCAGCCCTGTGTGCACAGCATCCCCGCTTGACCCTCGCGTAGTGCGTCCGCTTCTGAAGCCACGTTGCCAGAACGTGATGACGGCAACCTTGCCTACAAGAGCTCTTGCGGGCTCCCCGCGTTCGTCGAGGGCGGCTATCTGTGGGCAATGCAAGCCTCTCTTGCAAGAGCTCTGTCCGCGTGCGTCTCCAATCCCCCCCTGCGCTCTGATCCCTGAGCCCTCAAGATTCGAAGTCAAGTTCATGCAGGCGTCTTCGGGGCCCTTGGAACGATGTCAGCCCCCGGCCGCGCCATTGTACCGACCTGGGATCTCGAAGCAGCGTGGGCGCAAAGCGGGGGTGACAGCCGTTCGCAAGTGCTGCCACACATGCAGTTGCACTTCCAGCGTCCTGTTGCCTTGTTTGCCGGTACCTGTGCCGGAGTGCCAACCGACATGTGTGGCAGGTGATGTGCTCGTGCACTTCATCTCCTTGCGCCTGCCATGCGCCCGAGTCTCCCATGCACCGCAGCCGTCCCAGCTTCGCAGCCAGGACGCTAAGAGGATTTCTAGCTTCGAGTTGATGCTGTCCGCTTCCTTAGTTCTCGAGAAAGTCGCCCAGCCGATGGTCCAGTTCTCGACTTGTCAAGGAGAAACACGTTGCACCCGCCTGGGTTGCCGAGGGTTCGCGGATGCTGGACATTCTCCCAACAGCAAGCTTCTCATGTCTTCCTGTTCGCCTCCTGCCGCCCTGCAAGCTCAGACCCTGCAGGCGTGCGTCAGATCGGGCTGGAAAGCATGGCCGCACGGGGTCGCGCCGCAGGCAAATTTGCGATCTGCTTCCAATGTGATTTAGGGTTAGGTCTGCTAGGTAAGTGACACGCCACCGAGCCCACACGGTTCAGAGCTGCATGCTGAGAGAGTCGAAACTTCTAATGCCGGCCGTGGACTGCCCACTCCTGAAGCACACGTCTGGCAGATCAGCCGCTCACGGGCCAGAGATGACATGGCCGTTTCGATCTGAAGGGGCAGCGCATAGCAGACGAGAACGGAGGCTTGTAGTAGCATCGATCGGCCGCCCAGTCAAAACTCAAACAGCGCATCCAGCCAGCTGATTGCAAGACCCCACACTACTTGTGGACGTTGCACGTGCTCTCATGCGGGCTAGCGCATTTTTCCACGCACCAAGATGTACAAATTATTGCTTCTTGTCGCTTGGGCAGGGCTCACGAGTTCCTGGGCTTCAGGATTTGTTTGGGTTTGAGTGCGGGACGTGGGCTGGCAAGCCGGCCACCGCAGGTGTGGCAATTCAGCTCTGAGAAGAAGCCCGTGCAACTAGTTTGATTTCGCGTAGTGAGGGCCCCCGATCACCCCCAACAGTGGTAACAAGACTCCTGCCTGGAGGTTTGATTTCCTTGAATCCGATGAACTCCATGGACCCGGTGTGCGCTTACTCCAAGCTCAGGACGGATTCCTTGTGGGTTCCAAGGATCCTCGAAGAGCTCCGTGGGCCATCTCCGTCTGGAAGTCAGCCTGGCCCGAACTCGACAAGTGCTCGCCTAGACCTAGACCTCGCTGCCCTCGCTAGTTGCGGGTTAGAGATCGACACGCCGTGTGCAGATGCGACATGGGCACAGAAGGCTTTCTTGACCAGGAACGAGACTACCATGCTGCGCCCGCGGGTCCTGCAGACAGCGTGTACGGCTTTGAGAAATTCCGAGCGGCCAGCAGTCCATAGTCAGTTGGTCCTCACTTTACAGTGCTCTGTCGCAGGCCTCGCCAGTCTGAAAAATTTCCAGCAGTGCCCTGCGCTGCAGCTAATTGCACAGCAGCTTGGGCAGCAGCGGCTGGCGTGTGGTCGCTGGCTTCAAAGCAGTCTTTTATCAGTCTTGGCCACCTCGACCGGCTTGGGCGTGACTCCCGCATGGCAAGTTTCCGGACATGTTTGCCGTCTAGAAACAGTTGAACAGCCCTTTGCGATGCAGAAGAAGGCACCAAAGCTGACCGTTGCCTGTGGGTGCAACCGAAAACTATACGCTCATGACGAGACTACTGACCGGTTCGTTCCTCCGTGATCCCTCCCCGGCTAGCGTCGGAGAGCTCCGATGGCTCCTGCCTTGCTGTGGCTTGCACTGGCGGCAGGAAGTCACTTTGCATCGCCACGCCGGGCTGCGAAGTGATGCAACGGTACATCTGCTTTGTCCCCGAAGCGGTTCACTATGATCCAGGCATCTGCAAGGAGAAGCGGAAGAACAAGAACAACTGCTTCTGTGTGTGAGTGCTCTGCTTCCGTCACCGTTGATGGGAAGGACGTCGGCAAGCGCCTGCCTTTGCCAACGGCCCTCTCCTGGTCTGGCCTGCTGCGGCCTGCAGTCGATCATCTACGTTTGTCGGGTGCAACGCCTTGCTACTCCATATGAGGCGTTGGCAGAGCCGACGCCACTGACAGAGCACTCGGCACGACCGTCGTGACAATCATCGGGTTGAAGCCCATGTTCTGAGATCCCATGTTCTGAGACTTGGCAAAAACAACAAGAAAACGGATCAGTTTTTCGGCGGAAAGGGGGTTGGAGCATGCGTCGGAGCATGCGTCTTGTCCAACTTCGTTGTGGCAGGTAGAAGGGACGCAGACATAAACACACGCTTCTACTGCCATTCAGGTTTCCAGACCTCTGACAGCAGTGTCTAACAGGCATAAGCCTGCAGGCCTGCAACGAGTGATGAAAGTGCACAAGGCTGCATGCCCACTCTCTGTTCTGGCAAGGACACGCGGCTGCGAAGCCTTTGTTCGAAAAGCGTGCTGAGGCTCACTAGCACACCGAGGCAGCGTCTGAGATGGCAAAGCAAGATAGAGGCTCCGAGTGCCTCAGGCTTCTTGGAATTCCGACCGAGCGCTACAGGCCGGGGAAGGCCCAGGCAAAAGCTCTGAAACGGGGGATCGTCAGCTTGCTGACAGGTTCTCTTGCTCTGTCGGACCTGCGTCTTCCCTTGCACTGCCTTGCACGTGGTCTTTGAGCCCGCAGCGCTCGGGCACGGGCGGGACCCGAAGCCCGAAGACTGCCGGTCCGATCGCCAGATGTGAGATGCCCAGTGCTTCGCTCGTGCTGTGATGCAATGTCAAAGCCAGGATACGGGACTTTGCAATGGGCCTGGTCGACACTCTTCGCTTGGCCCGTTTGGTCTTCTTCGCTGAGGTGTCTGCCCAAGCTCAACACTGCAAGGATGCCTTTGCTTCCGCAGCAGATCTCAAGCGCGCTCTGCGGGGTCTGCCGCGGCGCGGCCGTTCGGAGTCCGAGTGGCCTGGGCCTTCACGTATGTCTTGAGCTGGGACCGACGTGCCAGCAGAGGCACCGGCGTCTCTACCTGCAGCAACATCTTATTCTGGATCTTGTGGAAAGAAGAGAACATCAAAGAGGAATCCGAAGATCTGCACTAGACGACCCATGTGCCAGGCTTAGGTGGTCAGCGGCGCGGGCCCCCACTCCCTGTCGCTCCGTTTGAGCGAACCTGATCCTCGAAGGTCTCGTGCTGCGTCTCGGAGCTGTGGGTTGGGTTGGTGAAGCTGCCCCGGGGTTTGCCGACAATTTGTCGGCGTGGTTCTCCGTGCCAGTCTTTCCAAGTTCCTGCAGAGGCAGATTGCGACTTGGCAGAGATGGGCGGAGTGACGATGGACTCCTTTGGAAGAGGATTTCCAGACCTTTAGACTCGGACTCCTCTAAGCCCCTGTTCTACACACACCTGGATTGGCTAGGCCAGGCTCTCAACGAAACATCAATGTGCAAAATGTGCAATTGATGCTGCGGGTGCCGTGCTCGTACTCGGGCTTGGGTTCTCGCTGCATGCTAGCGAGCAGAACAGTGGAGCGAGCTTCCAAACATCAGATACGGATCCCCTCGCTTCCCTGCAGCGTTGCACAGCTGCACTCCCAAGTCCAGGCTCCACTTTACCCTCGCATAGGCACAGGAATCAAGGTGACGAATCTGCTTCCTTCATCTTTCCTGGTCATGTTTTCCAAATTGTCTCTCACTGCCGCTTCCGCCCCTGAAGCCGGGCCTTATTGCAGTGTGTTGCGACGTCTTGCCTTTCCAGGTGCTGCGCCACGCACCAGTCTCCAGTGTAACTGCGCAGTTTCATCTAGAGGCACAGTCATGGCACAGAGATCGATGCGTTTGCCTGCAAATGCGCAGTTGGCAAAGTCCACGCATCTGCGACGCCAGGTTCAGATTCCGGGACTGCTGGTGCTATTGGGCTGGCAGCGCTGTAACGGTTGACCTGGCACTGCCCTCAGCTGCAGTTGCCGAATTGCCGTTGGCATGCGGCCTCCTCAGAATAGCCGCAGGTTTTTGCCCTCGCATGCATGCGCTTAGCTCCAGAACATACGGCCAACGGAGCTGCGCGCCACCCGCATCGAAGCAGGCCTTAGTCTTTGGAGTGAGTTACCCGTCTCTCGCTAGGAGGACAGGCGGGTGGACCATCCCAAGCAGACGGATGACTTGAGATGCATTGCAGGGCTGAAGAGCTGTGGCAGGAAGGCGGGTCGGTGCCAGCACTCTCACTGAGACTTGCCAGCAGTGCAAGGTGGAGGCGGGCAGTGGGACAAGCCGGCACCAGAGTAGGCTGTTCCCTGGGTGCAGTCTTGATGCCCCGGCCAGGCCTGTCTCTTAGCTGCGATATGGCATTAGTACGGGCATCCAGCACACCCACAACCAGTCACGTGCCTTCTGCCAAGTAGTCCGTTGCTTCTGGAAGCTTCGGATCCTCCAGCTGCCTGCAGCAAGCAAGGATTCGGGGGTCATCATCAGCCGGAAGACACCTGCCACTTTCGAGCGTTCCACTTCTTGGACACTTCCGGAAGATGCAGGCTACCGGTATGTTGAAACACATTTAAGGGGATGTGCTGTTGAAAGACCTCCTGCCCAAGCACCTGCTGCTGTGTAGCCGGCAAGCTGGCCATCCAGACGCCCAGCAGCCACGACGAAGATCAGACAGCAAGGAGAAGAGGCATCCCGGTCCCTGTCGTCCCTCGCTTCCGAGTAGCCACCTCATTGCTAGAGAAGCTCTTCCTCATTATTTCCACCCGGGAAGGTCCTGGCATCGAAAGGCCTCTGACAAGGCGAGGGCTTTCAAGTGCGCTGCGGCATCCGCCGGCTCCAGGCTTTGTCAGGGTTCATCCGCTGAAGTTGCTTCCCTCGGTCGCCGGGCACTAGCGAGCCGGCTGAGCATGCAACATGCCATGGGACCTCTCATGATCCGTGCAGGCGCTGGAGAGCGCGTGGATGTGGCACTTGTGAAGAGCTGCATGCACTACCCGCAGCGGAGATGTGAGTCTCTTTGTGGAGATGACCGTTGCGGGCTCGTAGGCCAGCCACTGCACATCTGCCTTGCACCGGGTCAATCAACAAAGGGTCCCATGAACGGCCCTGCTTTCTTTCGGACGCAGCCCTTGGCAAAAGCTTGGATGCCAGGATTAGAGACCTGTGGCACCTGCCGAAGGTGAAGTCAGCTCGAGAGCATCCAGTCACCCAACTTACCCAAGCCCTCAGAATCATGACAGCTGCCGAGAGATCCAGGACAGCCAGCACCAATGTGACGCTCTACACGCCCGGCTATTTGTTGACGCCCAGCATGGTGTCATGATTTGAGCTTGACCACATGTCGCCCAGGCGAAATGCCCAGCATGTGTATGCTGCTTGCAGATGTGCGAAGATGAGGCAAGCTGTCCCCGTCTCACGGCAGCCCGAGCCACAGCGGAAACTACTCAACACTGCTCCGCTTCCCCTAGAAACAAGACCAGCACCCTCGCGCATGACCTGAACACGAATGCGACTGCATCTGCCATTCCTCGCATTGCCAAAGGCACCTTCCACCCAGTTGAACCAGTTGCCTGTGCCCATCCCCAGGGCTCGTTTGCTGCATCCCTTGCTTTTCGGGAACTTGCAGACTTTGCACGGCCAGGAGGTCTGACAGAATCTGATGTTGCATTTTGCAAGTTTTGCGACTGCAGTCTTCCAAGTCAGGACCGTATGCCGCGGAGCTGTTCCGCACCGCGGCTGAAGGTGCTCATTGTGAATCGCAGTCACGAGCACGGCGCCGAACGACAGGGCGCCTGTGCACGTACAGCACCAGCGGGTTGGTTTGGCCTCCCATTCTGCAGGGCTCGATGCGCATAGACACGAAGCGGAGTGCAGCTGGCCTTCTGTAGGTTTGGACGGTGTCTATGGCCACTGCCGGCGACTTCGGGCCACGCCACCTTTGCTGCGACTGCTTCGCATGTCTCATTTGGCTGACTTACTGTGCTCCACGCATCGGTCGGCGTCCTGGGCCTCCCGCATAAACGTTTGGAGGTGGTTTTGGGCTTCCGCCTTTCAGCCTGCTGCGTTTCGTGCCCAGGCCAAGATCTCACGACACTCCGGGCCTTGGCAAAAGCTATAGACGAGACAAGCTCACCAGTAAGATCTCCATACTATAGCTACGGTAGCTCAAGCTGTTCTCACGTTTAGACTTTGCAGAGTCTCCGCTGGGTGTTCACAGGTTCTGCAAGGTTCGGGGCGAGTCCGTCCCAACTCTGGCTGCGAAGCGCAGCCCGGTCCTGCCATAAGCTTGTCTCGTCGACAAAGCGCACTGAGACACTGAGGAAGATGCACGCCGCCAAGCTGCGACAGTCCAAACGAGAATTCCTGAGAGTCAAGCCTGCGATCGTGCATGGCTTCCGGGAGCGTGCCAGGCAATTAATGTCCAGGAGGACGAACATCTTACGCCAGGCTCCCTGACGATCAAACATGTGAACGTGCCGAAAATGCTCAGCACATCCACCAGCTGCGCTGTCCAAGCGCTGCTCCTCCTTTTTGTGGACATCATGTCGAGGGCCGAAGTGCAGCCGATGCTCCGGACAGACACCCTGGCCCCCAGAAGGCCCACGCTGTCAGCGGCAGTTGCGTGGACCCAGCCCGTTCCCACAGCCGTGCGGCATAGTGCCGGGAGTGTGGCCACGGCAAAGGGCGGCGTGGCGCGCGCTTTTGTTGCTGGTGCCCCGCGACTTCGGGAGTCTGTCTCCTTCTTGAGCATGGAGAATCTCTTCCTACAGTGCGCGCCCTCGAGGAGGCACCGAGAAGTAGGCTCAGGCCTAGGCCACATGAGGTGTGGAAAAGTGCTCCTGCAACCGAGGCAAGCAGTTCGCCTGAGTGCACCAGGCTTTGTCCTGTCACCACCACCTTCGTTCCCCCTGCACTGTGGAGCAGCATCCCGACTTGTTTCGAGGTCCTCGCTGGCAGCCCGGAGTGACCTTGCCATGCCAGCTATGCCGTGCCGGGAAGGATCGCAGGCAGCGAAGTGCTTCTCAGTCGAAGTCCCTGTGAAAGTGGGCGACCTTCGCTAAGCTTGAGCATAGGATCCCCAGCACCAGCAAATCTTTCGCGGCCAGTGCCAACCAAGCCAAGAATCCGGCAGTCTGGCGGTCTTCGATCTTCTGTTTGCAGCTCGATCCGATCCTGTCAAGTGGCTGGTTGTTGCAATCAGCTGCGGGACCTACAGCCTGGGGTCGGGAACGTCAAAATCCCGGAGCCACTGAGCCACGACGATCTTGGGTCTCTTCTTCTTTGTGCCGCCTTGCACCCGTCAAGGCTTGACTGTGAACAGAAGGTTTTCGTGAGTGCCGGCCCCCGTCTTAGCTTCTGCCGGCCTAGGTGCCTGTACTCCGACGACTTGATCCTGGAGACCGCGCAGCAGAGAGCCTCTAACTTGCTTTCCTGCGGATTCAATCACACCGGGCTTTCAGGCCCCACTCATTACTGGCTGCCTTCATTCCTGGCGCCTTTTCCTGCCTGTTCTGTTCCGCGCACCAGTGCCGGAATTTAATCCAGACGTCCGTTCAATCTATCCATCAAGGCTCGGACCTGGCCGGCGGGAGCGTCCAGCCGATCCGAGTGCCATCATCGAGCAGCCCATCGGCATTTGTAGCCGATCTCAAGAGAACATTAAGTATGGAATCAGAACACCAGCTTCCGAACGGACATAGCCCGCTCCCGAACGGACATAGCGAGGCCCCGATTCCAAACGGACACAGCGAGACCCGAAATGGAATCACCAAGTGTGCAGCTCGCCAGGTTGCTGCTACCATTTCCCGTTTTGCAGCAGGTACACCAGCATCCATCAGCCACTCCACCATCCATGCCGATGTCAGTCCTGCATACCCGGATACAGGCCTGATGAAATCTGGCATGCTTCCAGGGTGAACCAAATCAAGCACAAGACTTGGGTTCCAGTGGTATTCGTCATCCGGACGTGTCGTGCACTTTGCAGGCCAAGGTGCACGGCTCTTCGAAGAAATTTGTGGGAGGCCACTTCGCCCCAGCAGCAGCTGCACAAAGCCGGACTCCAGAAAGTTGCTCGGGGTCGCCGTCAGGGCCGCATGGGCTGCGTTATGTTGGCACCTATGGAACTCTCAGATTCCTCACTGCTGCGCCAGCCGCTGAAGGTTCGCATAATTTACCATTGCTCTGCTGCGCCTTCTATGCTCGGCCGCAAGCTGTGCACAAAATTCCCCCGACCTCCTGCAACTGCAAGTCGCATGTTCGCTTGCATGCTTCGGCCTGAGTGTCACCCCTTTCCCACACCAAGTTCTGCACGCAGCGCGCCCTTGCGCTCTTTGCCCATGTTGACCGCAGCGCCGTGGCAACTGCCCTGCCGAAGGGAGAGCTCCAGAACTCATCCAAGGATTCCACCAATCTTTGAAGACCTGCCGGGTTCCGAGAACTGGTGCCGCCCCTGCCACTTCATCGGCTTTGGCTGCGGGCAATGCAAGCCATTTGCCCCAGCCATCCCCCTGATGCCTCCGAGGGACTGCACGCACCAGCCTGCGCATCCTGAGCCTCCGCCTGCTGCGCAAGCTTCCAGGCAGGGCGGCACTGGGGAGTCAGAGCATGTCGGTCTATGCTCCCTAGCTAGCTCCCTAGCTAGCTGAGCTTCTACCCGCCACATGCCGCAAATACCTGTCCTTTACAGAAGCGCAGACTCCATGTGTAAGATCAATGTCGAGACTCTCAAGATGCATGAGGCATAGTGGGACTGTTTCGTCCGTCGGGAGCCATTTAGGGCAAATTGGAACGACAGGGGGCTTGACTCGCCCCGCAAGCCTGGGAGGAGAAGAGAGGAGAAAGAAAGCGAGAGAGCGATAGAGCCCTTGGGTTTCGCTGCTGTCTCTCAACGTTAAACGTTGCCTTGGTTGTGCGTTGCTTTCTCTCCGCGCCCCACCAAAACGGTCGGGGGCTCTCCTCTTTAAGCTTGGGCAGTGGGCCACCCTGCTTCCCCGTTCGCTCCACTCCAAAACAGGGGTGCGCTGACGCGCAGGGGAAGGGGAGACTCCTTCCTCAGGCCCGCAGAAAGAAAGAGAGGGACCAGAGACAGACGAGAGCGAGAGGCAGACAGAAAGACGGAGAGTCGTCTAGGGGACGGCTGGCGACTTTGAAAGTTGAAATGGTCGGAGTGGTCCCTCAAACCTGCGGATTGATGGGTTATGGATGCTTTCTTGTGCGCGAAAAATAGCCTCGACAGGAAACACAGGCAGCATACAAGCATTTCGTGAAGACGACTGCGTCAGGCCCAGGACGAAAACCTCCGACAAGAGCAGTGTTTTCCTCTCCAAGCTGCGCATAGCGGCATAGCCTGGGCATAGGCTCGAGCAGGAGAGCGTGGAACGTATCAATAATTCGGCAAAGAGATACGGTGAGGAGGCTTATACTCCGGGTGCAGCACTGCTCCCATTTGCGTTTTGAACCTGGCCCAAATAGCTAAGTAGAACGTGCGCGAATGGCGTGAGTGTACAGCGTAAACATCAAAGATGCCTCGGCATCCCTCCAGATGATCACCTCTCAGTGGCGACCAGCAGTGTAGCAACACTTGCAATAAATCGATCTGTGGTTTTGGCACAATGCGCGCTCGACAGCAGTTCTCGTTCCCAGCTCTGTGTTTGCATCCGGCCCGACTTTCTCTGGTTATTCGAATACTGGATCATCCATGTGGGTTGAGGTTCTGCCGCCGCCGCTTTTTTGGCCGCAGCCAACAACACTTCTCAGATCTTATACAGGAAACCAGAAAACGCTTCCGGAAGGCATAAGCGCACAGGTGCGAAGCCAGAACATGGGACCCAGTAAAGCCGAGATAGAGGACTTCTGGACCGTGTGCTTATTAGTAACCATACCTGGAAGGTGTGCGGTTTGTGGTTTCGGCGGGGCAACGCGGATGAGCGACCGGAACGTCGGCTTCCATAATCTGGCGCTGTGCCGGGCTCAGATGGGGGGGGGTCTGGTGTTGGGATGGCAGGTCGTCTTCCTTTCTTGGCAGCTTTAGGAGTTGAGGCTCCCTACGGATCAGCTATGATTCAACACTAGGTTCGTCCAGCCACCCCACTTCTCACCCTAGCCCTGGACCCCATGGTGCCTCCCTTCAAACGCCTCTTCTTTTCCTAGTGTTCCCAGTGCGCAGAGATGTGCGTTCGCAATTCAAATCCTCGTTGTATCATGCTCAGATGGAGAAGCAAAGCCGCCCTGTGCAGCTCTCGAAATACGCTCTCCTGCAGGGTGCTCGCTGCAGACCAAGTCTGGAGTGTCGATCCACCAGACGAGATCCGGCCCCATGGCTTTGGAGCCTTACATGGGGCTTTGAGGTTGAATGTTAAGTCGATACACAGCTCGTCTCTGCCCTTCTTCGATGTGTCATTGTTGGCCGGTCTCGTGCTGCAGCAGCACCAGCCGTAGTGGTAAGCTGCGAGACTAGCTGTAGCTACAGTACTAGTAGCTGAAATGAAACAGTTCAGCAGCCGAAACACCCCTGCACTGCTAGGCTCCAGGGCTTGCTGTCCGTCGCACAGAACCTGGTTTCCACCCCTTGGCTGGCATACCTCCTTCGCGAGACGTGCCTCGGGCATGGCATTGACAATTTCTTGCAGAGCGAATTTGAAAGGCTTTGACAGTTGAGGCTTAGTTCTAGACTGCAGCCAGGTGCTACGACATGTCTGAGCTCGTGATTGTGGGCTGGCAACTTGGCGCTGTCTGTCACCGCCTCGCTTCACCTGTGGGTCGTAGGGGCTTTGCTGAATCCAGAAAGGCCTGCATGATATGGTGCCAGCCACAGGCGGCGCGTAAGCGTTCGACAAATTCCGTTATTCTTCCGTACGGCGTACGAATTGAACTCTGCGTCTCAGGGCATTGACGTAGTGTTTCTTTAACATGGTTTTCCTTGACAGGAACTCAGAGACGTTTCTGCTTCGTCTTCGTGTTTGTCGCGCATCCTCCGAAGAGTGCTTCAGCCTGCGCCTTTTTGTAGCTCCCCTCCGCCATCAGGGGTGTGTTGGATTAAACAGATAACCATCATTCTGGAGGTAACACGGCCACATAGATTGCACGATGCTTTAGATGACAGCCACATCGGAACTCATCGGGAATGAAATGACGGATCGACCTTGAATCTTCTAGAGTCCAGAGTTTGCAAGGAGCCCAGGTGTAAAAACAGAATTGCCCTGAAGACATACAGCGATGCGTCTCCCCCCCACACCGCATCCGAGTCCCAATTCGACAAAGCGGAATCACCTCATGAACGGTCGGATCTTGAACGCTGCAAGGAGCTTTGGCAATCATTTCGCATGCCATGCTTCGCGGCAGTTGGAGGCACGGCATGGTTCGGTGATCGTAGACGGGTCTCGTGACAAAGGTTACATGTAGCCATGTTAGTAGGTGTGAAGGACTTTGCGTGTCGATCTGGGATGGGAAACCGGTTGACGGTGACGGCGCTATGTGCCGTTCGGCAGGTTTGAAAGTCATCATGTGTGTTATCACGGTTCGTTTTCCGAGTTGGCATAAATCACAAAACATTGTATGTTGTTTTTTGTATGTTGTTTGTCATAGTTTGCAGGTGATGCAAGAGGGCAGAAGCTAAGATTTAAGAAGCGCTAGCAAGCAGGCCGTTTTCAATCGCTAGCCTGTGCTGACCAGCAGTTGCCTCCCAGCATCTTCCCGCAGAGAACATTGAGAAGAAAAGGGGAGGTGCCAACCGAACCCTTCGTCCTTCACAAAACGGTCAAGTTGGTGATGTGCCGTTGCGGTTTAGATTGTCGCAGCATCTGTTCCCTCATGTTGCTGTCCAGGCTGCTGGAATACGCCTGCGCGGTATATGCACGTTGGATGATCGGTGCCTCGGAGGGCTTATGCAGCTTTGAATCTCAACAGCGGACAACACACCGCGAATTTACCGAGGGCTTCGAAACCCGCGCACGACGAGTTTGACTGGGAGTTCGTTGCCCAGACTCGGCACCTGGGCAATGTGAGCATGTGTTGGGTGCAAGCCTTTTACCCTAAGCCACGAGCCTGACACCACCGATTGCAAGTCTCGTGCCCGGCCGCTCCTGAACCTTGCTGAACTTGATTTTAACGTGACACAACGGCCCCGATGCAAGCGGTACATAGGCTAGAAAGGCGAGAACTAAATGCAAGTGGTGATGTCCATGGCTACAGCTTGGCAAGATAGATCTATATACCACCCCATGCAACTGGACAAGTTGACACCTCTGTGAAAGTGTTCAAGCAGAATCTTCACTCAAGCTTCGTAAGCCTGTATCTTCTCTTTCGGGACCCAGGCCTCGCGTGCGCCTTCTTGCGGTCGCCATGGAGTTTATCAGTCCGATGAAGTTTGTGAGAAAAGAGTTCGGCGACTGAGCTGACCCAGAACAGAGGCATAGGTCAGATGTTTCGATACAGCATTTAAGGCTTACCAATATACCTGGACAATCCTGGACATGCAGACCACACAGAGACAAGACTCCGAAGTCGACAGCTTGCCGTGTCTCAAATCCCGAACTTCTAGTTGAGGATGTTCTGGGATGCAGAGACGAGAGCGCAAAAAGCTGCAGAGAGACGAGCTCATTTGCCTCCTGAGGCCTCGATCCTGTTCGATTCTTTGGGGCCAACTACGTCTCTTGGTGGATACAGGGGCTTCCTGGGTGCCTGTGATTCCGATTTGGATTTCTGTGGGAGCACCGAACACGGTCTTCTTCAGGTTTCAGTTCGAGGTCTCGTGGCAACACGAGTCCTTGCCCAGGCTTGTACAGTAGGATCTATGCTCGGGGCTCACTCACCGACGTTGACCGTTTCTGCTTCCCTTCTCGGCGCAAAGCTTCCCGAGGAGATGGCCGCGAAGCGCGCTCTGACCTTCGCGACATCGATGAAAATTTGGTCTCCAGGCTCTAACGAGACTTCGGTTTCGACAGGTCTTCGGCGAGAAATTGTGGTTCCATCGGGGTTAAGGCATTGTGCTCGTGGGCGAGGGCCGCGCATGTATTTGCAAATCTCTCTCTCTCTCTCTCTTTTTCTCTCTTTCTGCTCTTGTGTGTGTGTGTGTGTAAGCGGTATCTGTACCTCGACCTGGGGGTATCTTAAAGGCAGTACACTTGACTGTGTCGACTGACTTCCAACTTCGCATTACAGGAAGACACTTTTGTCACAATCCTATTCCAGCATGCATTCACTGCCATGGCCATGTAAAGCAAACGGCAAACCGCTGCGACGGCACTCAGCAATGGCCTGACACGCCACGGCACCCGAGGTTCGACGAATCCGCCCACCACAGCGCCGAAGCCCGAGTGTCTTGAGATCGTAAAGTATCGGGTTCGCCTGTAATCCCAAGGAGAACCAGCACCCCAGCAGATTCAAGTCACGTCTCGAGACGCGCGCTCAGATCGCAGCGGTCGATGTGTGGGACATCCGTGAACGTCTCCATGCACACTGCCGTCCGTCGCGGAGGCACCGTGCGCTTGCCTGTGGTGGCTGTGAGTCTGCCTGGGGGGCTGGGAGGTTCCAGATGTTGGGGTTGCGCAGGTGAGATGGCTGCAAAGCAGCCTCAGAGCCAGAAGTAATTCATCAGCAGCGCAACAAGCGAAGCATGAGGTCTAGTCCTGCTGCGAAGACTGGCAGCCGTGCTCTTTACAGTATGCTCTCTGACTTAACCCTGCAATGCGGGTTCGTCCTAGTTAGGTGGGAGGCAAGAAAAGTCCAAGACCCCGCCACAATGCGACAGGCGACGTCGCAGGCGGCTTCCAAGGGTTGCACAAAGGCTGGGCGTTCGAGTGGTCTTGCGGCTTTATGAGGCTTTGTGGCTTTGTGCATCCAAAAATAGCTGGGTTCCAGGTTGGCCTTCGGTAGCCATCTGAAGCTTTGGTTCTTGTTCACATGACGGCCGAAGTCGAATGCTGGTGATCCATGCCGACCAGCCTTTTCGATCTTGCCTCCAAGCATGTCCTGTGTAGCATGGCCTCATTTTCCAAACCTTTCCAGTATCACTGCAAGACACGTGAACACAATTTGCTCGCAGACGATCCTGGCCGGGGTGCTTACCATCGAGACACCAAAGGCCTTGTGTCGAAAGGTTTTGATGCCTAGGTCCACGGTGCATTGGATTTTCGACATAGGCTTGGTTGGGGATCAGCTGACTACCTGAGGCGCGCAGTTGTGGGCAGACGGGGGGTCAGGCAGAGCAAGGGCGGAACTGTCGAGCTTCGCAACACCAATTGAGCGCAGCAGGGAAGTTGACAACCGGAAGACAGCACATTTGCGTAATGCAGCTGAGGTTTTTTTGCTTCACGATCGTCTTTGATACTCGCTTTAATCTATTAGGAACGGTTCTTGGCCCAAATCAGAATCACGGGGCTCCCATGCCTTGTAAGTTCCTGCGACTGCAGCGCACGGTCTGTCCCCTGTCAGTAGCTATCCCTGTCTGTTTCGATGCCGCTCTGCTCTGCTTCCGGCTGCCTCTCGCGACATTCGTGTCCACATCAATTCTACTAAGCCTAAGCTTTGTTAGGAATTACAAGAAGCCGAGCAACAACTCGTATTTGCATCGACAATCCGGATAGTTTGCTCCTCCTGCAACCGTATGCCGTGCAAATCACCAGTATCACAACTCTGCCCACTCATGCCAGGTGCATCGACGACTACTTCGGCCGTGCCGTGACAGTCATTGAGCTGGAGTGCATGGAGGAACCTGGTCTTGAGCATTCAGTCTTTTGCGGATCGTTCTAGGTTTGCCTGGCCTTTCGCTTTCGATTTGCTCTGGCACCCCAGGCTGTGAGCGGGAGAGAGCTCGGCAAGAGGCTGACAGCCGGCTGAGGCCCAGTGCGAAGATTCGGGTTGGTTTTGGGGTTGCAGTGTTGAAGCGAAGGCTTGCAGCTTCAGATTGGTTGAGTGCAGCATGTGCAAGTGTAGCGACGAAGGTTTGTCTTGCGGGCCCTTACCGCAGAAAGTAAACGGCCAGAGGCGCACCCCTCTAGTCTCGTGGCAGGAACATGCAAAGAGGTTCGTACACAATGGACTAGCCCTTCTCGATGGTTTCACCAAAACAGGAAACTCTTGTAATGGAAAGGTGTCGGGGTGTGCGTGTGTGTGTGCGCAGCTTGTCAAGGAGTGAAAGCTCTGGTAACGCATGAGCCCCCGATGTTTTCGGAAGAGGAGAAGAGACAATCTTCCGGATGTAGAGCTCCGCCCCCAAAATTTGGATCATGCGCCAATGCCAGGGGCCAGAGGCAGTGTTGTAGTTTGCATAAATGTGTCAAGTGTCTACATATCTGATTATTCGGGTAAGAGAATGCGAGAAGACCCCACCAGAAGCCTGTGGACGGCGACCCTAACCTCTGGGCTCGTTTCGGAAACTGGGACTCTCGTTTAAAGTGTTTCACCTCATCCAACTACGCAGCAATAACCTCGCCTGGCTTGCCCGCGTGTGAGCGCCGAACCTCCGGGCTCTTCTTTTTCATACGGTTTACGTAAGCAATGCAAAACCTTGAAACAGCAATCCAGGTCGTCAGTAGAAGTATTCAGAGGGATTCTTCCGCGTCTCATGTAGTGGTTTCGCTTGGTTTAAATTAGTTCTCAATCTTGCGCCTGGCTGCGAGGCTCTGGAAGGGCATGCGGAGTTAGGAGGACGCAGAATGGCAAGATTTGATGCGGAGAGGCTTCTGTACAGTCCATCAAAGCAGCAGGGCCGTAAGCTGCCCGCTTTCATCTGCCGGATGGAGCTTTTGCATGTCTCATGTATTTTCTTGTCTGCATTGCCATCGTCCAAGGAAGAACCGTTCTGTCACTCCGCTGCATTGCCCACATCGATTTACATAGTAGAAGTCGGACCAGCAGCTCGAGCGCTGGGCGCAAGACAAACAGTGCGGGCGGCGTGTGGAGTCTAAACCACCTGCAGACCCGCATCCCAGTCCCCAACCTTGCCCACAATACAAAATCAGACCAAACTATGTTGATGCATTGCGTTCTGATACTGATCTGAAATCGCACGAGACTGAGGGCAAGGCTCAAGCTGCGAGACCTGTGGTGTTTGGAGGGAATGTCAGCTCTTTACACCATACGCAAGAGCATTCCTTCTGCAAGGCTTGAGTGGAGCAGGCGAAGCTACTATGAGACGTCCTCGTCTGCAGCAGCTCACCGCAAAAAGCGGCGTCTCTTTCTTTCCGTGAGAAAAAGGTTTTGTATTGCGCAGTACCTCCGCTTTATTGAATTGCCGGTGTGGGGACAGATCTGCGATAATCTACGTAGACGCCTGTCGGGTTGTCTTCCACGCTGCGCGAGACTGGAGAGACATGTGGCAAAAGTCAGGCCTTGTTGCACTCGGGCACCCGTGCATAGGAGAAACTGTATCGGATGCTTGAGGGCTTCAGCAAGCTGCAGCGGCGCTTGTGTGCACGGGTCGAGAAGCTTGGCGAGCTGAGCGTGTTTGCAGACTTAACAGAACAGACTGAGTTGAAGTGCCAGTCTTCGGAACGTCGAGTTCAAGGTGGCTATCACCAATGTGCTTGTGGCAGGTTGAGGGTCTTGGAAAGCCACCAGCCGACGGTGAAGCACGGCAGCCTCCCATCCAAATGGACTTCTGAAGGGATCGGCAAGCGTCTCTGGCAGCGCACCTTTTCAAGAAGCATACCCTATCGGACACGCTAACCATATGAAATCCGTGTCCCGACAGGACAGGAGAATCTGTAGAATGACAGCATGTCTCATACTGTAAAAAACGGTCATGTGGAATGATTTTAGCTTCGCACCCCAACAGAATCACACCAGCAGTCGTGAACGGGCATCCGATCCAGTTCTCTTCGTCCACGGACGCTTCCACATGGTGTCTGACGTCCTGCCCGCCTGCATGGAGAGCTGAGCTTCGCATCTCTGAAGCTTCAGCCGCCCTTTGCCGTCAGCCCGAGAATGCGCATGCGGCAGTCTTACCTGCGATGGAGAGACCGCCTGTCCGCACCAGGCCAACACCCAGGCCCAAGTTCTTGGGGCGGAGGGCAATCAAGGGGAAACTTGCTCCAAAATCTTGCCCAGGGACGCCCTTCAATTGTGGCTATGAATCATTCCTGGCCAAGAAATCTCCCAAGAATCCGGCATCTTTTTTTTGGAGTTGTGCTTGAAGATGCTCCCGTCACACTTCCGGAAACAAAGCAAGTGCATGCTCGAAGGTGCCGCTCGGCGAGAAGGTCTGTGAACAACGATGGACATTCAGGCTCGTGGTCCGTCCGGTGATCGCATTGTTGAAGAAGCTCTACCTCCTGAACAGTCCTGAACACATGTCATGGCCCGTGTGCCCTCGACCCTGATCCATTCTCGGTTTCCGGGCTGTGGCCGGCGGGTATGGTCCAAGGGTGAGTGCAGTGCGACTTGCGGGATTTGTTTTCCCGTCGTGCCGTCGTGCCATGGAAAATGGACAGATCAAGCTATGCTAAATGCCGTGGCGCTGCAGTGGACACTTATGTGAGGAGGTAAACGAACACGCCCTGTTCATGCTTCTGAGATCGATCTCTCCTTGAGGCATCGACGAGCTTCTTATCAGCAAGGACTTGTGCTGCGCCGCTGCGCATTGCTGATTCGGGTTTCTGCATCTCGCGCACTCTCCCTGGAGTGTGTGAGGATTGATTCTGACGGCTTGTCATTCTGAATTGATTGAGGAATCGGAAAATCCGAAGATGGCAGGGCTTGTAAAGCCTTGGCTGTAGCCGTTAGCTCGTTAATCACATCACCCTGCAATTTGTGTGTGGACTTCGAAGTGTTCGTATTAGGGGAGATGCAGCTTGGGCAAGCTCCTGGATCATCCGGCACAACCAGAATACATGTCAACCACGCGTCGTGAGAGGGGTTTGCGGGATCCGGGCTACCGGATCTTTCACTCGATCTCCAGGATGCCTTCTTGTGTGGCGAAGATGTGGAAAGGCTCTTGGCCAACGAGTTCGAGGCCGGAGAGGGATCCATCAGCCACCCTACAGAACAGTAGCCTGCCAAGAAGTAGACACGGATCCTGTGCAAAAAGGCTTCGCCTAGATTGCTGCTCACTGCTCCTTTCCAACCCCTTCAGCTTCCATTCCGCAGACCCTTCAGTCCTGCCAGTCGGCAACGTAGCATTCATAAATGCATCGTAAACATTCGGGGGTACATTGGGCTCGTGACATTTAGCACAGTCCTTAGTCGAGGATCATTCAAGAATGTAGCCATCACACACGGCATCCGTGGCGAAGCGAACAAGAAACATTCAACACAATAACCATCAAAGCTGCGATCACTGCCGAGCGAAGAAGGACTGGCAGCAGCGTCCCCGCCTCGCCACGGCCCTGCTCAGGCGCCTCGCCAAGGTGGCACTCGGTGTGTTTGGCTTTAGGCACCTTGGGGCAGGATCGTATAGGCTGAACTGAAATTCAGAAGATGTGAGTGGACCGTGTTCGCCAACAAGGCTACGCGTTTGTGACTGCTGCGCGAAAGAGTGCTGAAACACTTCAACACCTGTCCACCCGTGAGATGTCACGAGCCTGCGCCTTTGCTCGCTGCGGCTTGAACTTAAAAATCCGTTCATCTGTAAGGCCAATCTAGACAGCCGAAAGCCGCACATTTGCAGCCTCTTGAAAACCGCAAGGCCCGTCGTGGACGCATGGCCTGGGAGGCGCTGCATGATCTTAGTTTCCTGTCCTTCCGACAGGGAAATGTCTCATGTCGCCGACAATTTTTATCTTGCTTGGTTACAACTGTTCAGAGGTGCTATGTGCGATGCTGCGGCATCAGGTGGTCACTCGCAGCAGAAAGTGGCAAGGCTGTCGGTGATGCTTCCTCGAATATTTCAACAACCACATTGATCGGATAGATAGTTAAAGAACCACATGTGATATCAGTGGTGTCTTCTAGCCGTAGCATGGCCTAGGAGACCAACATCTATCATTACGGGGCCGCAATTGGCCGGGACCCTGGTGGTGACCAGTGAAAAGATGCAGCTCGATTCGGCAGACGGCAGTGTCTGTTACCAGCTGAGAGATGGCCTCGACTTTAATCCGCACAACATGCAAGGCGCCTGCGAGAAATCTGCAGACTGGACGAGACTTTGTGGCAGTCGGTTGGAGAGGCCTGTAGGAACACGAACTGGGGCATTGTAAATATCCTTCGCGATATGCAAGTTTCTTGTAAGTGCATCTTCGCTCTGTAACAGCAAGCACCAAGTGGACTATGATGTCGATATCATCCCCTGGCATGTTCATTTGACGCTTCTAGAACAAGACGTGCAAGCGCAGGCGTCCATTTTCATCGCAAAGATGCCCAAACACGCAGGTATTCAGAGCGTTTTTGCCATGTTGTCCTTCATGCTGCCTACAGATGCTAAAGAAACGCTGCTCCAAGGTCCGTTCCAATATCATACTTGCAAAAATCTCCGGCCTTTTGTGGCCTAAGCGGGTTTGGAGACTTCAGCCACAGTTTTTTGTTGCAACCAAGCTCGCCGCCATCCTGCGAAACTAACAACTGCATGGTGCCTCGAATGAGGTACTTATACAAGCACCAGAACCACGTAGTTTCAGCAAAGCGACAGCGATGAAACAGAGGTGCAAAAGGTCCAAGCCAAAACGAGTAGTTTGGGGAAGCATTGCAGGGACACCCGAACCTCGTGAAGTCTCCTCAACTTCACATCTGAGTCAAATGGCATGGTGCAGGGAACTTTCTGGCTGGGGCCGAGGCTCGCTATCGATCTGCTCGATGCTGCTTGGATCTTTTCGTACGGGGCGCTGGTTTTAAAAGTTACCTCACACACTCAACCTAGATCAGCAGGTGTGAAAGCAACCAAGGTCATGACGTTGCAGCGCGTGGTGCCCAATGTCTATGCTTTCAGTTGCTGGTCAGATTAACCTTTAGGCGAGCTATCGACAACCCGAAACTCATTCGAGCAAGTTTGCAAAACCCAGTGTGTAGATTACAATCATACCGACTGTACAAAAAATGCAATCGCGAGACCAGAGAGACAGAGAGAGAGAGAGAGAGAGAGAGAAAGTGAAAGCACAAGGAGGTACAGAGTCGGTGTGAAGGGTTGGAAGAAGCTTGCAGTTTCAGCATCGAAAACAGGTCTGTTAATTACGTGCTACTGCGTGGCCGTCTGCCCGCTGAGATGCAGGTTCGGCTATCAGCGCCTGCGGCAGCCCCTTGGATTCTGGATGTTGGTGTGTTCGCATGCTTTTTTAGGGAGGGCCGTTCTTCGAATCAATGTCCCTCTCGAAGCCCGTTAACCGCTTGTTCGGGAGCTTAAGGCAGGGATTCCAAGCTTGGCAGCATTCTCGTGGCTGCATTGCAACAACCGATCATCGAAGGGGTCCGCCCTGATACTGCTGGATTCCACATGTGGAGCTCTTACAACAATGGTGGCGAGCTTGATTTGGGAGAGGAGTGGTCGGAGGGGTTCGCTGCAGCACTGAGGCCATTGGACAAAAGCCCTTTGGCTGCTGGAGTCCATGGTGTCCTCCGAGGACTGCGGGTGGCATCGGGAGTCTAAGAAAAAAACGCCGCATGTTCAAAGCTTGCAAGGCAGACTTCAAGCTTTAACTTCCAGACCGTCGAGCTTAAGACTGCCATTCCATATTCCTTGCTGCATGAGCTCGCCAGTCTTCCAGGCTACATTTCCAGGCTATATAACAGAACTTGGAGTGGGCTGCTGTCCTGCACCTGCAGGTTCTGCCGAATGTGGTCACCTGCAACAGCGCCACCGGTCAGGATTCTTCCAATCTATCCTCGCGAAAGCCGAAGTCGAAGTGCTGTGCAAGCCCAATACCAAGTAGACTGAGTAAACCGAAGTTATGAGCCAACATCAGCCAGCATATACGCATGTGTAAAATGTTCCAGTACGCAGTTGTACATGCTATGCAGCGTGTGTTCATATGCACAGCCATCACCCCCTTCGGCCCTTCGGCAACAAGACAACGCGCCAGATCAGGCAATCGCTGCTTGTGCGAAGGGCAATGCTTGGACATTCTCTTTGGGACTTCTCTGGAAGCTGAACGAGGCACCACCATTGCGAGGTAGCAGGGTCGCGACAGGATGCGACAGGCTGCGAGGGTATCAGCTTGGGCCTTGGGCCACCTAAGACATGGCTGCGGGTTGGAAATACCATTGAATAGTGCAGCCGTAAGAGCACTCCAACATGCTCGTGTCGCATGGAGACAGAAGTCAACGGCAAGCGAAGAGATCCGCAGCCGTTTCTGGACCAGCCGTCAGCTCTTTGTACTGCTTAGACTCTGCCCGGTAACATGGTGCCAGCCACAGCAATGCTGCTCAATCAACTGCCGGCAACTGGGTATGCAGGATATAGGGAAGACTGTTCTTGTAGATACAAGACAGGCCAAACACAAGATGTACGTGTTCCGGTGAGCTCATGGGGCTAGAGTAGGCCAGAGTTTCAACCAACTGGAACAAGCCACGTGCATGTCGAGCCAGCAACGTCCTAGATCGATGTCAATTGTATACCCTGTTGTGCATGTTTCGTTTTTTCTCCTTCTGCCTCGTTTGCTCTGTCGTTGCCCACTCATTGTGTCCACCAGCCCAGAACGACGAGCCCTGCATCAGTGGTCGTGGGTTGAGTTGAACAAACTACTACAGCAAGCACACATCGAAGCTGGTCTAGTGCCGGTTGCTTCGTTTTTTCTGAAAATCTGAACAGAACGGTGATAGTTCTCTTGTCACGAACATTCCCGTCGGCAGTCATTGCCGCATCATCTGTTAAAGTTAAGTTGTATCCGCTACATCATAGATGGCGGAGCATGGGCAACCTGATCTTTGGCGTCGCAGTGCCAGAGGGTAGTGCCCCTCGTCTTCATGTCGCTAGGTATGGGTTGCTGCCACGCTTGCCACATGGCTGGTGTGCTGGCTGGTGGTAAGTCCGGTAAGCTGTCACGAGGCGGCCGGCTGTTTTGACACGCATGAGCAAGACGACAGGTTGCCGTTTGCTCTCTCTCTTGTTGCCCATGTCCCATGTTGTCACAATAGGTTTTGGAGGTGTTTCCAAGTTGGGCAGCCTTTGCGTTCCTGATCAAGGAAAGAATCCGGAACTGCTCGTTGCATCAACGCGCTCTTGTGATGCTGCGTGTTGTTGCATTCAGCTAAGCCCTTCAGCCGAGCTCAGTCCGGCTTCTGAGCACAGAGGAGCAAAACCCTGGAGATCTATGCTCTGGAACTAACTGAGTCCATTGATGTTTGTGACAGGACTCTCCGAAACTCTTACTTCAAGATGTCGTCAGGTGCCCGCCTGCACCCGGCACCTGAAGACCTACCCGGGATCTTGGCATGTGATTTCCTGCGCCATGCTGCTCACCATGGCCACTGGGAATGGATGCAGGGCTATTGACACTTGAGGATGTTTGAAGCTACTGCGGCTATTGGGCTCTGGAAGCAGCAGTTCATGATTCGGCGCATGGTTTGGCTAGTGCCAAAGGTCAAAAGCAGAGATCGAACTTGTACTTGTGAGTAGTTGCAAAACTCAGTGATAGGCTTCGGTGACACGCTGGAAGGCAGCCTCACGCAAGGAGCGCGGTAGGGAAGCATTCCGATCTTGCGTGCGGGACACGGTCGCAGAATATCGCTCGCTGAGTGTATATCTGGAATTCAATCATTAGCAGCATGTGCGCATTCGGCGGTAACACGCTGGTAGTTTAGGAGGGTGGTACATTGCTTGGAACGGAAAATTGCGCGAACAGCTCAGGTGATGTACGAGGTGATGAGCCTCATTGCGACGTACATGGGTGCACAGCACACACAGGCAAGCATCTGTGCTGTGCCACCATGCACTTCAAGAGCCGGAAGAGTGCAGTTGCCCATGGCTCGTGTTGGTACACTGTGCCTGGATAGATAAGACTCGACCAAACCGGGGCTGGCTAGCCTGGCTGAAGGCCTGAAGGGCATGGAGCGGCAAAGTACGCCATATCGAGATTCCGAAAGCTGCCAAAGCCCAAGTCCCCTTCAACCTAGCATTGTGCAAGGTAGATCAGTAAATTAGGTCGTTCGCCATCTAAAAAGCCTCTGCGCAGTCCTTGATCCCGCACCTCAAAAGCAAGTGCTTGCCCACCTTCTTGCTGGCCCTCATGCTCCTTGGTCGCAGGCAGAGTCTACTGTATCGAATGTTCAGACTGACCCTGTTTCACCCTTGAGTTTGTTTTGCATTTGGCACGTCGCTTGGACTTTGAGCTCTGGGCCGTCACTGAACAAGAATTTCGAATGTTCAAGTTCCGAGCTAGTCACGACACGATTATGACTCCAGTCTCTAGTTGTGTCGATCCGAAGCCCCAAGCCTGAGCCATAGAATCACAAATTCGCACAACCACTGTACCACATCGAAGCGCGACTGTGAGCAAGCTGACCAACTTTGTCATCCCAAGCGAGGTTCGGCGTTCTGGCCTCTGCGGAACGCCTCTTCTCCCGTGCGGACTGGACTGTGGCACATGTCATGCCCAGTCCAGACGGCCTTACCCCGGTGGGACGGCCTGTGTACACATTGCAGCAGCTTGGGCGTTTCAGAGTGGTACGGACTTGTGTTGTTCCGAACCATTACCCAACCTATTCTAATCAACCTGCCGTGCTTGCTGTGGCTTGCGTTGCGGGAGGTTAGCCTTACAACTGGTTGACAGGTTACATGTGCTAGGGCGAACGGCGAAAGCCGTGCTGGAGCCGAAAGCAGCTAAGGTACATGGAATGGGGAATCAACGTGCCCAGTCACACGAAAGACATTGCTTGTTCTTCAAGCGCCGAGTGCTGTATAGTTTTTGCCGGGGAGCCCTTGCAAAATGTGAGCAGGGCAATTCCTCAATGTAATCGCAGGACTTAGCAGGTGCGAAGACAAGCCAGGGTGGGCGGATGCGACGGTGACTATCTCAGGCTGACTTGACTTGGCCAGGTGCCCATCCTGCTGATCTTGGCTGGCTACTGCAGCATGGGCCGACCCCTTCAGGATGTCAGCGAGGGGAATTCAATCGCTCAGGTGGAGAGATTTTGGAATCGTGTATTTGTAATTAAGGAGGTATCAGAAGTGTCGTTTGTGACCTTTGCTACAGTAGGGCAGCCTCGTAACACTTTACGACAGTCGCGTTGAGCTTGCAAAGCTGCCTCCCTGCGACAGAATGAGCATGATTCTGCGAAATGAGCGGTCTACACATAAGGTCAACGACTCCTATAAACATCGAAGAACTTCTTCTATTCTTGGCACGGTTCGTGGATGTAGAAGGCGTGAAGGGGAAGCAGCGTTGTGTCTTCAGAAGCAGGCGGCCCAGTAATTCTGGCGCTCAGAAGGAAAGGACTTGTCAAGGTTGCACAGCCCTGGATTGAGCACATTCGTGGAGGGCCACTCCCCTGTCTGTGGAGGAGATCTCGCGGCCTCTGGTAGTCACCAACATCTATGTGCATCTAGGCTGCTGTCGAGCATACAGCACACATGCCATGCAACAGTGATTGCGACGCTTCAATTATCGGCCATTTCGGGTAAGGTAAGTCTCCGGGCGATCGTTCGTGCGACTGTCGTCGAGAAGGGTATCCGACACTGCTGTGATTGAAACGCCAGCATGTCGTGTAAGACCCGCAGTTTGACAGGAGCCAAAAAAACCTCGCTGAGGATTCTATGCTGGGCGGCCACAGCGACGGAGAGCGCCGTGTTGAAGCAGCTCGGTTGCAGACTTAGCCGGAAGCTCTCAATATCTCTCAACGCATACAGGTTGTGAGGTTGGCACTTTGCGCAGGCCGCACGATCTCCGTAGCTTTCTGTGGGGTGGCGATAGCTATGCCGCGTTGGCTTTCTTGTTTGTCTTCGTCCTTATCTCTGCAGATTTCTTAACTTGAAGTTTGCAAGACTTCTTTTCTGACCACCCAAGCCGATCCGGACCTGCGAGAGGTGGTTGCTGATTGCTGTGTCCTTCGCTATGTACGGCTGGGCCTCTTACGACATGCTGGGTTGGTGCGTAGCCTTCGAGCGAAGCGCTCCCATGGATTTACCCGCAAGGAGAGGAGCAAGCAAAGAAAGTGTTTCTGTGTTCGGTTGCCAGCTCTGGATGTGCCACGCAAATACAGATGTCACCGAAATCAGGACTGCGATGTTCAGCAGTAAATGACTTGACGGTGCAGAGGCTAGCCATTCGAAAGCCGCCAGGAGCATTCGCCCAATGCTCTCCTCCGGTTTGGTGCTGCACTTGCTGCTCTACGGGGTGGTCTACGTCGCTTCCACGGTCGGTTTCATCTCAGCCCACTTGGAGCGGAAGTCTTTCTTCGCCTTGACCCAGGGGATGCTGAAAACACAGGGTGAGCTTCGCACCCCACGTTGCGCCTAAGCCTGGAATGGACTCGTACTCGTCACCCGTCCTTGGCATCAGGACCTTCGGCTCGAAACTCGCCTACAGCGCTGCATTCGTCTTCATCCGCGCGGACGAGTACCATAAGACACTGACCGACGTACTGCGAAAGGCGGGGCTGTACTCTGCTGTGAACCACATCTGTGCCAGATTGACATTGGCCAGAAACAGCGGACAACCGGAGCCTTGCTGCCCCTGAGGTTTCCGTTTCGAACGTGGCGATGGTCTCGATTTTGCGCGGGTGCCGTGACAAAGCAACATAGGCCTAGGGACCTGTATATGGCTTTGCGAGCGCGTACGCTTTCGCTGTGGCCGAAGGGTTCTTATGAAGGGTTTTTCCTGAAGTCCGAGTCCGAAGCTTCTGAGTTTCATAAGGAGCTTCGACATCATTCTGCCCTGTGTGCTGGATGCTGGGGGCCGCTGCAAGCTGCCGAGCACACACTCTGGGGACATGACTAAGCTGGAGCCTCGCCTGCTTAGTTAAGGCAGTTGTTGTGTAGCACGTGTGTGCGCAGTAACAAACGGTAACAGCGAATGCCGCCAGCACTCTGGCCCGAGCGACGCTATGTCTGAAGTTGGTCATGTCGAATCTCCCGCCGTGCCAATGAAGGCCGCGCCGCAGTACAAGACACCGCCACGACACCCCGCCGCCCTATTACCAGATCGTGGCATTCATGTCGCCGTGGAGGGTGTTCGCGAGGTGCTGCGGGTTCGGCGTTGGGGTGGATACCCGGCCTGGTCGGCCTTGGCATCCGAGATGACCATGGAGGACCGCACGGCGCTGGTCGACGTTGTGGCGGTGATGACCATCATGACGCCGCCCATGATGTCGCCCACCCCCGCCCCGCCGCACATGACGGGCCTGTTCCCTGCCAGGGCAGCAGCGGCGTCTGAGGTGAGCAGTGCGCCGCCCACACCGCCGGTTGTGCTTGGCGGGCCATGTGCAGTGGAGTCCGCCGTCGCCTTCGACAAGGTCGCCGGATGAAGGAGTGTCGGGCTTGGTGTTCCTCCACATCCCACCATCCACGCCGACTCCCATGAGAGGCACCACGGCGAGCGGCGCAGACTTCCTGTACACCGCTCCGGACACCATGTCGCCGACCTTGCACCGAAACATCGACCGATGGCCGCCGAGTCGGAACTGGTTTCGGGCTCTTCCACGCCGGCAGCGCGGCTACAGATGCTCACGGCGAGCGGGTTAGACTACCGCCGCGGCCGCGGTCCGCGTCATTAATGTCTACTACGAACGACAATGGCAACATTCGGGGAACAAAAACAGCAGAGCTCGCAGGATGCCTGGAGGAGGCGACAAGGGACGGGGCCGCGCACCGCAGATGCACACAGTCTCAGACTGCACAATCCACACAAACTCTGCTATGTTAACTCCGTCATTCACATGCTTCATCAGGCCATGACCAGAACTGGCAACGTCACAGGCCTGGGCGAACTCAACGGTCCACTGACTGCCTGTGCCAGTGGACAGGCAGTCAGGTCCCAATCGGCGACCAACTTAACCCGAGGACTGGAATGGGAGTTCTTAGGGCAAGGATGGCGGAGATCAACCAGGCAACATGATGCCGCAGAATTTCTGCAACACATGTGCACACGTACGGAATGTTTGGCCATGTGAGGATGGGAAGCACGTAAGCCGAAAGGGGCAGCATACGACATTTTTGACTAGCAATTCACGTGCCCGCATATTCGCCTTGTCCTTCATAGACCCTTCAATCTTCAGGACGATACGGCGATGGCATAATCAAGAAGTCATGCATGCCCTGGTACAACCTCCCTCACTTCTCATTCTTCAGCTTGGAAGAATTCTGCACACCGAGCAGGGAACAAGGAAATCCAGACATACCTTTCATCTCAGCAGGCACATCACGATCCCGACGTTTACAGGCCATGGAGGTGACGTAGTAGGCACTAGATACCAATTGTGCGGAGGAGTCGTACATATTGGCAGCGTGGACACTACCACGCCTTTTGTTTTCCTCACAACGATGAGGACCTGTGGTGCATCAGGTCGCAGCCCCAGGCACAGATGCCAGCAAACAAGCTCTTCTCACCAATGTCTACTTGCTGGCCTCTCGCAGGACCGAATGCCTTTGAGTTTCAACTTGGGGTTGTGGTGTTCCCCCCCAACCGACACAGTAGTTCTGCACAGTAGTGAGAGTCGCAGTAGTCAGGGTTCGAGGCCTTCACATCGTCTGTACACATTTTTGCTTCGGCTGATGAGAAACAACTGGTGTCGTCTATTCCTAAATTAAGTTGCTCCTAGTCCCACTGTTGAGTCATACAAGTAGCCAGCGGCTGTTTGCAGTTGATCGCTGAGGCGACTGCAATGATCACTGGCGAACCCTCACTGTAGGGGTGACCAGTTCACGTTCGCCCGCTTGACGGTTGCCTCAGCCGATGAATGAAAGACGCCGTGTCCAGGGACGACTTCACCCGGGCGCGGCGCCCACACGCCGAGATCCTGAATATCTTTGCCAAGACAGTCGGCGACCTAGAGTTTGCCACCACTGCGGCGGCCGATGAGCTCCTTACCACGGACAGAGCTTCTGAGACTGAGCCGGTGCGTTGCGGGGAGTCGGTGCGCACGGCGGGTGCAGAATGCGCCCCGGCGCCGGCAAGCCGTTTCAGCTTGTTTCGTCGCCGAACGGTGTGATACAGCGCTCACACCACACGACGCAGAGGAGTGCATCGTGTGATAGTGCAGTTTTGGATCAACGTCGGTCGGAGTGCTCCGTATGTTGTGTAGCGCACGTGTGTGCGCAGCAACATACGGTAACGGCGAACGCCGCCAGCACTCGGGCCCGAGCGACGTTAGATTTTTTCCCACCCTCACCACCCTAATGCCTTTTCGGCGGACGGCGAACGACAGCGGCCGGCTCCAGAATGCGCCCCGGCACTGGCTAGCATTTCAGCCTGTTTCGTCGCCGAACGGCGTGATGAGCGCTTATACCACACGACGAAAAGGAGTGCATCGTTCAACGTTGGTTGGAGTGCCTCCGTGTGTTCATGGGCTCGTGGAAAGGATGTTAATGTTTGATGTCATGCTCCATGAGGACAGAAGGGTCCTTGCAACCCGATATTTGTGACCTGTCGATCGCAAGGAGAAGGTTCTGGGCTGCCCCATCGCCGGCGCCAACCTGAAAGACTTGCTGGCCGGGGACCAGGACCGTGCAGACTTCTCCTCCTATGCGCCTTGTCTGTGTTGTCAACCTCAAAGACAACCGGTGACTTCGAAAGAAGCTTCTGCGCTCTCCTAGCTGGATGCCTTGGTCGGCGGCTAGTAAGTAAATCGCGATGATCTGTTGGACAGGATTTCTCGAAAGCTTGGAAAATGCCTAACGTCGCCCTACGCATATGTCTGCTCAACATCCCAGAGTCGCCAAGGTTCGGAATGTGGTGCGCCAGGCCGACTGCCCCCAGTCCTTCAACGAGGTGGCTTTTCTCAAGCATCGCTGTGCCCACAGCTTGCACTGCCTCGAGGGTGCAGACATCAGTCATGAGGCCATTGCCATAGAGTGTTATCATGCCTACCCCCGACACATCTTGCGCACCAAACCGCAACTTTCAAGGTCTCTGAAAGTCGGATCACTCTGGGAACCGGGTTGGCGCGTGCACACACACACGCACACGGACGGACACGGATCCCTAAGGCGACGCTATCAACCCAGGGTTCGTGGACGTGTAAAGCGGACGCCATGTCGCTCGGGAAGAAACTGGTTACTGCCGCATACTGGGCCTTACTGTCATTCCCCGTGGCATTGTGGTTATACTGTGAAGCCGTGAGACCTCTATGCAGTTTTGGCAGACAGATGCTTGAGAGATTGCCGTAAATGTGAATCTCGTTGTGTCCGAAATCGAAGCATTCTGGAGTATTGGATGCCTGCTAGGAAACCGCGAATCTCAAAGATTCTGAAAGCATCCGAGGCCCCCCATTGCACAGGTCCTGCACAGCAAGATGCAGTGCAAGGCCGGATTCGACCCCAAATCGCCAATGCTGCGGTAATGCGTCCGAGAATCTTCACGACTTCTTGAAGATCCGCTGAGAATATGTCCTTTCTCAAGTCTTTCGACCCGATGTGTCCAACCTTTACGAATTTCCTGCAGCAAATTTGCAAGACTCTTGCAGACAAAAGGTCGCCAGCGGCACACGTCTCGATGCCACGATCCACCTCTCGGTGGTGCCCCGTTCGGCTTTGAGCTTTGGGAAGGAACGTCAGCTAGTCGCTGCCATCCAGCTACCTGGCTGAAAATGCTCGATTCTTTAAAGCTTGTTGATCCATTCTATCACACGTAGCCCAATCAGATTCCCGGAGTTTGGGGATTACCATACGCAGCACAGGTAATCATAGAGTCAATTTCAATCTTGCGATAGTTCTTTTCCGAACGGCCCAGGTTCACCACGCCTACCATGAACGAGGCCAAGGAGACAGATGTGGGTGTGGTGGGCTTCGAAAGCTTCCAGGCCCCTAGCTTTCAACTGCAAGAGTTCAGAAGTGGAGATATATACCTATACACACATACCTATCTATCTATCGATCGATCTATTTATCTATCTCTAATATACACAGGCACATTTATGTATATATACATATGTGTATATATACATGTATGTATGTATGTATGTATGTATGTATGTATGTATGTATGTATGTATGTATCAACAACAGGGTCATCACGACCACAATCTTCATAGTCAGCAGGTGTCGCTGGCATCAGTGCCGTCTTCGAGTTGATAGTTCCCTCTGAGACCTCGCCTGATGCGTCGAGCGCGACTGCTAAAAAATGTATGTATGTATACGTACACATTTATGTATATATGTATATGTGTCTGTTTATGTATATGTATATGTATCTGTATCTGCATCTGTATCTGGATGTGTATGTGTATGTGTATGTGTAGATGTAGATGTAGATGTAGATATGCGCATGTATATATCTCGTCGATGTAGACCGGACAGCATCTTGACGTCTTGCCCAACAGGCAGGACCGGCATTTGTTGCATGTTTTCGTCTGGGCATCTTAGCACACTGGAGGCAACAATATCCGTGAAACAGCAAAACTGAGCCTCTGCTTGGCCTCGCAGCTAAGGCCAAGAAAAGTGTGTCCTCGGGTGGCTCCACACAGCCCACCAGCGACACACGGTCCAACTCCGGGATTGTCGCCAATTTGGCCGACCTCAACAAGTTGGGCATGCCGGGAATGCTCGAGAGTTCGGAGGCAGCTCGACCTAGCCTTTCTGGGGCTGTTTCAGGGACCAGGCAGTCGGGGATCGGCAGCATGGAGACTGGCAGAGATAGATCCACGGCCGCTGACATCCGCTGTGGCCTCGGCACAGGAGAAGACGAACGAGGACTCTGCCTCCCACTACTATGGAGCATCCATGACCGACGAGACCATGTCCCACCTTGCGGCATTCACCAAGCAGGAGAGGTCGGAGAGGTTCCATAGCTCTGTGCACTTCACTCTGTTTTGTGGGAGAGATCGACAAGGAGTAGCGCATCAGATGTGCATGTAATGAGACTAGGGCACGCGGTCGTGTTCTGGGCTGTCGCGATAGTTAAGATGCTGGTCGAATAGCCCGACTGCCTATGGCAACCTGAGCAAGCTGTGTTCCGTTGTTCCCCGCAGTGGCGACACTTGTCATCTAAGCTATGATCCTGCGTCTGTGCGATGGTGACCAGCCTCAGCAGCAAATCTGCAGGACAACTTCGGCCGCTTCAGCCAGGCTGCCTTCGACGCCCGCGTCGTGGGAGTTTGGGAGGGCACCGTCAACAAGGCGTCTGCAAGTCCTCAAGCCCCAACTCTGGTGTCGGATGGAGCTAATCAAGCCATAACAACTTGCAGCGAAACTTTGATGACAGCAGAGCTGGATGCCGGTCGCGTGTTGAGAGCATCTCTTGTTATCTGTTCACGTAGCCCAACATTAAGACTGAAACGGCGTGTGCACAGTGCTTGCTTCATCACTGGCGGTTGCAACAGCAACTGACACAGCCTGCTTCGGATGTTTAGTACTGTCCACTTCGTATAATCAGAACCCCCGTTCCTCCCCTCCCCCCCACCCCCGCCTCCCCCAAAAATGCACCCCAGCCTTAACCATGAGAGTGGTGCTCTGCCACGAGCACATACTTCATGGGGAGTAGCAGCTGCTAGAGGGCCATCTCATTGTCATTTCAGTAAGATTCGGCCTCGATGCTTCTTGGTTTTGTTGCTTGGATTTTGCAATTACTGGGGTGGGCTGTTTGGTTCTAATTACTTTCTGGAGTTGGACTTTGTAATTCTGCGAGTGTTTCCCGACATGAGGTCAGCATGATCAATACGTCGCCCAATAGGATGCCGCGCCGTGGCATGTGTGGTTTCGTGTCCACGGCCCGAGCAACTGTGTTGCCAGGCTCTTGGAGGCTACCGCCAGCGCATTGAGTTCTCTCACGACTGCATTCATGCGAACATCACCGTCATGGGCAAAACACTGGAGGCCACAGCTTTGCGGTTGTGTGCCTGCTTGGTTTTCAGAGATCCAAAGTTCAACTCTTGGAACATGGTCCTCTGGAAGTTTTCCTCCCGGGCCAGAAACTCCTGAGACCTGAGCTCAATGCTCGAGTCTACAGTATGTCCAGTAGGTGCTGTATTTGGCATCCGACGCTGGGCACCGAGAGCGAGAGGGAGAGTGAGAGTGACGAAGACGAATTGCTTCTACAGTCTCAGCTCCCACTGTTGTACCGACAGTCGTGCAAGAGGCATGCTTCCGCATGGACTGCTCGAAGGACCGCTCCTTCTGGGAGGGGCTTTGGGCTTCTTCCAGATTCATGTAGATGCGCGTCCCACCTCAGACGTGTCCACAACCCTGAAGCCGACATCGTCTGCATAGCCCCTATACGGTATGAACTCAACAAAGGATATGCCGGCTCCTGCTGCGGAGCATGTTGGAGTTCAGCAGTGGGCCAGCCATTGCTTTGAGAATTGCGGTTTGTCAAGAGCCGTATAATGTAACAAAACTGCCTTTCAAGGACCCATGCCACCTTGACATCGAAGTCATCCCAGCCGGCTCCAGCTGCCCTCCGCCGGCCATTCCCTACATTTTCAAGTTCGAGGCTTGTTGTCGCAAGTGCTCGCCCCTACGGTAACACTTGCATGGATATTTGTGAACACATGGCGTCGTCAAACCCGCGGTCACACCGACCGCTGGGGCACGTCTTCGCTCGCGACAGTCCAACACTGCATGGATCACTCTCCGATGACAAGACATGCAAGCCCACGCAGGTCCAACGTATAATCGTAGAAGCAACATGAAGCAACGAGCCTTATCCATGCACAACAGCAAATGCAACAGAGGGGGATGCAGCCGGTAGACGTCCACACCAGCTGGGTGCAGAAAAGCTTCCTGAAGGCCCCGTCTCGAAGCGCAGCTCCTTGCCCTACAAGTCATGTCGTGTTTGGAAAGCGCCTTCGATGCGCCTTGCTTTCCTGTGCAGGGTGATTGCCTCGTCCTCTGCGGTCCTGGCACCAGTTCCTGGACCGCAACACAAGAAGACAAGGTCAGCTCGTTTTTTTTTGCCAGGCTCCGAGGCAGAGCGGCTTAGTGTGAGCGGCTTCCTGTGAGGTCTTATTCAGGTGCTTTTGCAGGGGTAGGCATCGTTCTCACGGCCCTAATTGGATGAGCCTGACAATGCCTGACAACGGTTGCTTCGTGAGGCAACCTCCAGCGCCCACGCAACTTCGACGGCATTGGTCTCTGCGTGATGGAGCTGCTTGGGGACAAGCATGTAGGGGGCGCAGTCCCTTCCCAAGTCCATCACGCGAGTGTCGGCTGTTTCTTTCGAGCGTTGAAGCTTGATTGTAAGCAATATGACATGAATCCTTTCCAAACTCATCATGCGAGCATTCCATTTGCAAATTGAGGGAGGGGGTCCGTGCCCCTATGAAGCTTTCCTCTCCAAACTCATCAAGCCGGGCATGCTTGCCTCAAAGCAAATGAAGCTTTATTTTTGCAAACCCATCACGCGAGCGTTGTGATCGCAAGCATGCAAGCTTGATTCAAAAGCAGATGGATCCTTTCCGAGCCCATCATGCGAGCATCGTGTTTGCATGGAAAATAGGGAGAACCATGCCACCTCCAACCACCCCTGCTTTCCCGAGCCGCGCAAGGTTGCATGACAACATATTTGGAGCTTTCTTTATTGTCCTGCAAACCCATTGCGAGAGCGCTCCATTCGCAAAGCCTGCAATATTGCTTGGAAGCACGCCTTTCCAAAACTCGTCATGCAAGCGTTGCGGTTGCAAACGAGGGGAGGGGATCCGCGCTGCCATGAAGCTTTCCTCTCCGAACCCATCATGAGATGAGGGCCGCAGCCCCCACAACCCCCCCGCTTTCCCCGAGCCACCCGAGTTTTCTTTGGCTAACCCATCGCGCGAGCGTCGTGTCCGCAAGCTTTCTCTCCAAGCCCATCAAGCGAGCATCGTGCTTGCAGAACCTGCGCTGACACGTACATACCCATCACCGATCCGCACAATGCTGCGGTCTGCGCGTGTGCTTTTGGACCTCTCGCGAAGCTCTACCTGGCCCAGACATCCTGAAATGTGCCCGAATAAAGCAATCTGTATGTGGTCCCTCGCCGCTGTCCTGGAATGGCGGGATTCCTTTCCAAACCCGTCATGCCGGGTTCCTCGCCCCTGTCCTCGCATGGAGGATTCCTCTCCAAACGCCTTAGTGAGCGTCGTGTTTGCAAATGGGGGGGGGGCCGAGCCGCACAAGTTTGCCTCAAAGCATATGTGAAGCTGTCTTAAGCTTGCTGAAAGCAGATGCATCCTTTCCAAGCCCATCATGCGAGCATCGTGCTTGCAGGAGCTGCGCTGACACGTATCACCCATCCTTACACTGCTGAGTGAGGTTTGTGCGTGCATTTTTGGAGTGCCAGCATCAGAACAAGTAACGACCGCTCGAGGCTTTACCTGGCCCAGACATCCTGAAGCGTGCTGAAAAAGGAAATCTTTATGCGGTTCCTGAGGCTGCGCCCGCTCCAACCCCCCCCCCCCCCGCCTCCGTTTTTTTAGATTTCTGTTTTTTGTCAAGCCGTGCACACTTGCAATCAAGAACATCGCGCCATCAGTTCTTTCCCTGCCATGGGATTTGGGGATTCCGCTCCAAACTCATCATGCGGGTTCCCCGCCCATGTCCTGAGATGGAGGATTCCTTTCCAAACCCAACATGCGAGCATCGTGTTCAAGTGGGGGGGGGGGCCGCGCCCCCCAACCCCCCTGCTTTCCCGAGCCGCGCAAGTTTGCCGCAAAGCATATGCGAGGCTTTCTTTGGCTAACCCTGCAGGCTTGCTGAAAGCAGATTCATCCTTTCAAAGCCCATCATGCGGGCATCGTGCTCGCAAGAGCTGCGCTGACACGTACATACCCAGTACGGCTCCTTACACATCAATGCCGAGTGAGGTCTTTGCGCGCATTTCTGAGCAGAACAAGTAACGACCGCTCGAGAAGCTCTACCTGGCCACGACACCCTGAAACGTGCTCGAAAAAGGAAATCTGTATGCGGTTCCCCGCCTTGTGCGCAAAGCCTGCAAGCTTGCTTGAAAGCTCTCAAGGCACACGGACTCGAGTGTAAGGTAGTATGATACTCAATTGTCCAGGGGCGGAGATCGGGCCTCGGATCGCGGATGGAACAGAAGCTGTCAGGGGTGGACTAGAAGCTGTCCTGGGTGGAACCGAAGCTCTGGGGGTGGAATAAAAGCCGGGGGTGGAAAAGCACTTTCGGGAGCTAAAAAAAAGCTGCACCCCAGTTGAGGCAACAGCAAGAGGAGCCGAGCCCATGCCGTAAAATCACGAAGCAAGGCAATTCGAGAAAACTGCAAATCAGGCAAGCCGCCAGAAAGAGGAGAACCGCGTAAGAATCAACGGGCCTTGTTTGCTTACTTACCCAAACCGAAGATCACAGAGCGATGCGAAGATCAGTACTGAGCTAAGACCATCTGCCACACCCGAATGCTCTAGATGCTGAAGTTGCGGAAGAATCCAAGTGGGGAAGGCAGAATATATCGAGGAACCCAAGCAACCCCGATTCGTGCGACATACACCACATTACGTGAACTCAGTCGGCTCGATTGGTTCAAGCATTCGACGGACAGGGTCCATTCTGCAGTCTCCGATCCTCAGAATCAGGTACTGAATGAGGTTTGCAGCAGACACCACGGAGGAGAACGAAAGTCGTCCGAGAGGTTTCGAACCGTGAAATCCCACATACGACACAGTCTCGTCGAGCTTCAAGGCCGCAGTTCCCGAAAACGCCAACTGGTCCGAGTAGTTGTGCTCCAGTGGGGGAAGTCACCTGCTCAACCAACACACCAGCGGCGGAGAGAAATCAGCGTGTTGATTCCGCATCGAGATGGGGACTTGCCTAGGGTTTGGATGGTTCACACTGTTCAGGCAAGAAGATCAACACTTTTAAACCTGCAGCCTAAACTACCAAGAAGGAACCCTGCTACAATCTTGACCCTTGTACCGTCTGATCTTCAGTTCGACAAATCTTGCATTGTGAGCGACGGAGCCTTCCGAAATACCACAACATATACTGTCGCCAGACCCGAGGAAACCTCCACGGATAAAATGTTAGGATGGCGATGTTTCCTCGAATGTGAACCCATAATCGGAACACCACGGCGGCAGGAGCGAGCGGACCCGTGCGGCGTTCCCATGTCTCTGCAACTAGGACCGAAGTACAGAGCCTCCTGAATGCCACAGGTATATATATATATATGTGTGTGTGTGTTTTGATTTAAGGGTTTTGCAGAATTGGCATGTTTTGGGGTTTCGTCTTCAGGCTGTGAAGTCCAAGGTGTGGATGTTGTCGGGTTGTCAGCTGCTTCTTGTAGTCATTCACGAATGAGGTGCCTATTGATATAGACTTCGGACACGTTGTCGTTGGATGCCCCAACTTGGCAGACTTGACACATTTAGTTCTAGTGCCGTATCATCGCACTTCGTCTACGTATACCATAAGTACTTTAGTCGTGCGAGGCCCTATAGATAGAAACAGGGTGGTTTCTTCAACAAGGGGCCAAGGGGCAAAGAGCACCAATACACTTGCACCGACTGAGTCGCTGCGACAGAAAGAACGACGAGTGCTCCAGACATTGCAGGTTACAGGCACAGAAAGTCGGGCCATCGAGCCCAACGAGGGCGAAACGTTTTCCCTGGCTCGCTCCTATCGCTCTCATCTCTCTCTCTCTCTCTCTATCGGCTATCGCTTGAAAGGGGTGGGGCGCCAAGTTCTCGACTCCAATCGAACAGAACATTCGGTCTCAGCGGACGCGTTACATGACGAGGCACTACTGTTATCTACTGTTTCAAGCTGTAGAGCAAAACAAGCTACCCATGCCCGAGGCGTCACAGCAAGGCTCCCAGCAAGGCGTCGGAACTGGAGCCAGACCCGGAGTTCAGCCGTTGCCCGGCTCCATTGCCTTGGCAGTCTGTCCTTCCGAAAGAAGAATCTGAATTGTCATTAGTCCAAACTCATTGAAACCAAGCTTCGCCGGCTGGGCGAGGCCCGGTTCGCAGCAAATGATTCTCGTTGGAGAATGCTTCAACACAGATTTCGAGGCCACTGGGCGAGTTGCTATCCACATTTCCAACACCACATTGCAAAGCGTGTTGGCCTTCCCCACATGAACGGACCCGAACCCCCAAAGCTTTGTCGCAGCCTTGTCTCAATGCCAAATAACGAAGCACCTCGACGCGTGCGGTGGGGCCCGAGGTAACACTACGGAGGCCACTGAAGCGCCGGAGTCTTCGGCCGGGACCCAAGTGAATCGTTCTCTGTGGCTCTCGGCCACGGAAACAGGGAACTCCGACTAAGACTGTCGATTTACCTTCCATTTCTTGGATGATTTTTTCATGCTTTCCCGCGAGCCTTGATGACTTCGGGTTCGGGTCTGGACAAAGGGTTGAAAGGCCCAGGCTGCAGACATAGCCAGGGCAAGTTAGAGCCATGAGTGCCGGCGCCCCGAAGATAGGCTAAAACTTACGCAGAAAGGGGACGGGTCTATCAATGCCTGTCTGAAGTGAAAGCGACTCTTGACACGAGCATTCTCTTTCGACATATCGCACGTCACTCGCCAGACGGTACTCTCTACCCTGCAACAGTTGGCCAAGGCCCAGCGCACATTTAACAAGAACATGCCCAAGAAGGATGACAGCGTTTGCATGATCCGTCTTGCTGTGAACGCCCTCACGCTGTGACTTCCTGTGCATCCAGTCGCCGGAGGAGCTTGACATGCCGAAGCGGGCAAAGGCGGACATGCTGGGCCTCATGGAATGGATCGAGGACATACTAGTAGCATGCAGTGATTTCGGTGTTCTTTCGCCTAGAGCCTTCGCTTAGGCCAATCTATAGGCGGCAATGTCTGGTAAGAATTTAAAGATTTAAAGCCACGTTAGAGCCATGGCTGACGAAGTTTTGGGCAGAACGGTGCACTGACACAGGCATTTTGACTGTGAGATTCGACAATGTCAATGACACTGTCTCGACTTGCAGGAAACAGGCTCTTTACAGAAGTGCTCGTCTGATTGTCATTTTCGTGATGATTTTAACCATATGGGAATACTTTCTGCGGAGTACCAGTCATTACACCTAGGAAGTTTTAGATATCATCGGAATGACATTCTCGAGTACCAATCCTCGTAGGTAAGACTTCCGAATAAGGCTTCCGCCGCGTGACTTCAGGCTTCATGCATGCAGTAATTAATATTCGTGGTCGTAGTGTTGGTGGTCGTGGCATAGGTGCATTTGTAGTCGTCGTCGTACTCGTCGTCGGGTCGTCGTCGTCGTCGGGTCGTCGTCGTCGTCGTAGTAGTAGTAGTAGTAGTAGTAGCAGCAGCAGCATTTGTCGTAGCAGCAGTAGCAGTAGTAGTAG